AAAACAGGACATTCATGATGCTACATAATACACCCTGACCAAACTGGTTTCATTAAGGGTAGACAGTCATCCACAAACTCACATAGATTACTTAATTTGATAGATTTCTCTTGCAGTAGAAGCACAGAAACTAGTATATTATCTCTAGATGCAGAAAAGGCTTTTGATAGAGTTAACTGGAAGTTCTTATTTGCACCTTTACATAAATTTGGTTTTGGGAACTTCTTCATAAATTGGCTAACATTATACAATTCACCAACAGTACGTGTCAGAACAAACAACCACATACCAGCTAGCTTCTGTCTTCAGAGGGGGACCAGGCAGGGATGCCCACTTTCCCCCTCACTGTTTGCTATCTTTATCGAACCACTAGCAGCCGCAATTAGGCAAACACCAGGTATTAAAGGCATAAAGTGTAAGAAAATAGAACATAAGATCAGTCTTTATGCAGAAGATGTTTTAGTCTCTCCAGAATTCTCAATCCTCTCTCTCCCATTCAATAGAACTGATAAACTCTTTTCCAAGAGTTTCAGATTACTCAATAAACTGGTTAAAATCCACAGTTCTACCAATTAATTTCTCCTTTGTCAATTTACTTAATACACAATTGGAGTCAGGGAATATCACATACCTAGGAATTAATGTCTCTCCGAAGTTGGCAGATCTAACCAAACTAAACTACATCCCACTTTTAAAGAAAGTGGAAGATGATCTTGCAAGATGGAAATCCTTACCGATATCACTCAAGGGGAGGGTTGCTACAATTAAAATGATGGTCTTACCCAGAATAAATTACTTATTCTCAATGATCCCAAACAAGTCACCGGCTGACTGGTTTAGATCTCTGGACTCCTCAATTACTAAATTCCTTTGGCTGGATAAACCTCCACAAATTAGCTTAAAACACTTCAAAAGACCAAAGATAGAGGAGGACTGGATCTACCCAACTTTTATCATTATTTCTTAGCCAACAGGCTGCAATATATACTAAGATGGTTGCAAGATAACCGACTAGATGAGTCCTGGTTAGATATAGAACAGACACTTTGCAATATGATAGAGCTTTCAGACTTACCATTTATTAGCTCAAGCATAAGAAAACATGAAGGCTTCAAAAGTATTAGTATCAGCACCTCTCTGACAGCATGGTGGGAGTATCTAAAATTGACAGAGTCTTCACTAGTACCATGCAGACGCACACCTATCTGGAATAATCCTGATATTTTGCAAAATAACAAAATGATTAACCTTCTGGACTGGAAAAGTAAAGGAATCCTATACCTGGAACACATATATGAAGGATTGGACTTCATCCCGTTTAATCGAATAGTCTCCCAATTTGGAATAGATAAGAATAGCTTTTTAGAATATCACCAAATTAAATCTGTAGTTAAACAAAAATTTAAACTCAATAAAGTAGAATTAAAAACACCACCAAGGGTATTAGACTTCTATAATCTCAAACCCCCAAACTACTGTCTAAAGTTTATGAAGTCCACTTGTCCAGGAATTTTGGGGTAGAGTATGTGAAGACCCGTCAAAGTGTCTGAAATGTCATATCCCAACTTCCCCCCTCTTTGTTTGCTGGGAAACCTGGATGATGTCCCAATTGAAACATCATTGGTTCACGTGGTTCTGACTGCCATATGCATCGCTAAGAAAACTATCCACATGAATTGGAAAAATAGAGATACTCTTTGCATTAACCAGTATAGAAATATTTTGTTATATCGTATTGCACTTGATGCAGCCTCTGCTTCCACTTCAAGTCAATCTCTTTGGGCTCCTTTGATTGGTTCCATCACATAGCGATGATGGGGGGTCATTTATATTGTCCTGCGGGATGATGTGGGTGGTGGGCTGGAGGGTCTGAGTTTGGAGTATCCGGACGTTCCCTGAGGGTGGGTTCACTGGGGGCGTCTGGGGCTGGGGGGCTGCTGCCCCCCTGGAGGTGCTTGGGTTGCCTCGGGGGAGGTCTGCTGGCGGTTGTGAGTGGGGCCCCTTGGGGGTCTTGGCGGTGGCCATGGGTTGCTGCCTAGCAGCTGTAATGCCCCTGAGTAGGTCTGGGTGGGGGCCTGGGGGCTCGGGGTGTGGGGTTGGCCAGCCCTGTGTGGGGATCTGGGTGGGGCCTTGGGGGTCAGGTCCTGACATGTATGCTGCCGGGAAGAAGGTGGGAACATGCGGCAGAGCCTGGCCCGGGCTCAGGGACCTCGGGTAGACCTTGGCTCCTCTGCTGTCCATCATGGGGGAGGGGGATGTCCAGGAGGGGGAGGACCCAGCCTTACCTAGATGTCCTATGTCTTCTATATTCTGGAAGCTGTGCAAATACAGGGATGGGAGTAAATATTCTGCTGGGGTAGGGCTGCATTGGTTCCCTCGGACTCCGTGGAGCTCTGCAATGCTGCTGCTTTGGGCCCTGGCAAGATGGGCTCGGGTCTCCATGCCCTGGGTGGCATTTTGGCAACAGAGGTGCCTACTGGGGCCAGTGGGGGAACTGGCTCCCTGGAAGGCTTAGGCCAACCAATCATTCCTCTCCATCCCCACACATTTTTCTCCTCCTGCTCCCTCACATCATCACACAAACATAAACATAGGACTCTGGGGGGTGGACAAGTCAGGGGTGCGGGTATGGTCCCCATTTCCCCGTTCCTGTGGCAGCCCGTCCCCCCAATTCTATTTGCACATTAAACACTTCCACCAATGACATTCCACGCAGACACACACTTAGGGCCTTGGGAGTAAGCACAACGGCACTTGGCAAGGGGATCTTTCAGCCTTTTCCCAGGTGCCGGTGCCCACTTCCTATTTTAATCTGCACTTAGACACAGAGGGCTGTGGGGGGACGAGGGGTAGTGTGGTGGCATCAGCTGGCGTAGGCCAGACGATGCCTGCACTGCCTGCTCTCCACAGCCACAAATACACCTCATCAATGCGCACCAACACTGTATTGGAGCAGGCAAAGGGTGACTAGGGGTCTTAGCACACCTCTGTTGTCGCTTGGCTTCCCGGGGCTGGAGGCTAGGAGGGGGATCTGGCTGTCTGGCTGGGGTCTGGGTGGTGGGTCGCTTTGCTTGGCGTTGAGCGGGGGAGCCTGCTCATCAGCACCCCAGCAGAACGGGTCGAACTCTGGGAACCGGTGATGGTTGTACCCTTTGTTAAGCAGTACAGAGACCAGAGTGAATAGGGTGTGTATGGGGATTATGAGTGGGTATCTGGCATGCATTTTTGTGAGTCTTAGGTTGTATGTGTATGTGTGAGCATGAGTGAGGGAGTGTGTGACTGTGTTTGTGCATAACTGTATATGTCAGGTGGGGCCTTTGACTCATCCCCTCTCCTGGGACTTCTTTTGCTGCTATACATCTTCGCCTCCCCTCCCCCTGCCACATCTGGTGTGGAGTGTGGTGCCTTGGTCTGCCTGAGTGTTCGCGGCTCCCTGGTCAGGGGGTTTAAGATTTTTAGCGTCTGCCTGATTAATCCCAGTGGCTGCCTGATGGGATCTGGGTCCCTGGGCTCTGTTGGGTCCCCGGCGGGGCTGGTCGCCCCTGGGTCCCGGGTCGCTGGGTTCCGGGCTCGGCCGGCTTGGGGGTGGGAGGCTGCGGTCGGGTCTGTGGGCTTGCTGCTGATATCCCCCGGGACTCTGCCGGCTGCTGGTTGTGGCCCCCCTGGGCAATCCTCTGCGGGGGCAGGGCCTTTTCTGGTCACAGTCTCCCTAGGGTCCCTGCGCTCTGGGGCAGCTCCTGGATCTCTGAGATTTGGAGCTCCTTCCATCTCCTACGCATCTTTGGGGGGCAGATCTGTGGCCCCTCACACTCTATTGGACGCTCCTATAGAGAAACCTTACATATACAAGCGCGGGTACACACACAGGTGCTCACATGGTGCTCATAAGTATAGACTTGGGCACGTTCAACACATGTCTTAAGGCTGTGGTTGGCACTTAATGCACTGTGATTTATTATCGTGATTGTTCAGTAAAACAATGTTTATATATTTTCTCATCAGGTTGAAGCAGTGAAAGCTTGCTCCTGTTGTATTGCTGTGTGTCCCTTTTCTTATTTTCTCTCTCCTTCTGCAGGTCTAGAAGCAGACTCTTGTTCATCATTGATTGTTTGTTTTTGTGGACCCAACCCCCCCCCCCCCCCCCCCCCCCCCCCCCATCTTCCTTTCTCTTTCACCTCTGTCTCTGTGTCTGGTTGGAATTACAAGCATTCAAAAGACAATAACAATAAAGTTTTAAGTATCAGGCATGACATTAAAAGCAGAAGCTTTGATGCTCCACCTGAGAGTAAATCTGTAAGGCATTCAAGACATTAATTCTGTTTGCTTCACAGCCAGACAGGACACTGTAAACAAAAAGAAAAAAAAAAGAATTGCTTCACTCAAGGGCTTAAAGGAACCACAATGTGACAGTGCAGATGTAAACAATGCAGATTTTAAAATTCTTTGTAAAATTGTGCTAATAGCTGGCAATAAATCCAAATTAGAGCTGCTGGTTGAATTTCTTTTAAAATAGTCTGCATTTTCAGAGATGTTGGTCTTATCACGTTTAAATATTGTTTTTAGGTCAACTTTTGGCATGACTGAAGTAATGTAGTGACACCTTCAGGTGGTAACAGGCTCCTTATGTGCATCCCTGCCTCCTGTAAAGATCCAAGTGCCGTAAAAAACCTCTGAGAAACATCTCAGTAAAGCAAAACTGTTATTTTCTGGGCGAATCTCTGTGCTCATGTAGCCTGAAGCCTGATGAATCAAAACCTGGATTGGCTTTTTTGTTGTTCAATTACAATAGAAGTTCCAAAGGAATTTTTAATGATTTATCACCCTGCCGCATGAAAAACAGCAGAATGGGAGATGAGATGACAAGCAGGAAGAAGCAATTAGAGAAAAATTGTGGAGCACTTACGGAGGGTGTCCACATGCAAATGCTTGAGCAGAGACACCCAGAGACAACCATACTTGTATTTTTTATTAGATAAGAGAAAACCTGCTCTGTTTTGCAGTTTGGTGAGAACCGGCATGTGCTTCAGGCCCTGCGGTCGCTGCTGGAGGAGTTCCGAGAGGAGCTGCAGGAGGAGCAGACAACAAGATGCCAACTGCAGCAAGCGTACGCCAATGACAAAGCTGCCTGGGAGGTCAAGTGGGCAGAGATGAAGAGCCAGGTTGCTCAGGTACAGATGGCATCTCAGCGCCTTTCTTTAAAGAGGCATGACACAATCTGGTGGAAAAACTGAACAGCAGTGCTTTTTAGCAGTAATGTGACAGTAAACACGTTGCCTCTTCCAGGCGTGACGTTCGTCTTTAGCCAAAAGAAATACCTGCAAATATCAGTCAGATGTAGGCAAATTATCTAGTCTTAATCTAGATTAAATCTGCCAAACATGATGAAAATTTGATTTAATTTCACCTCTAAGTAATTAAACTAATACAGGACAGACAACCAAGAAAGGTTTTTTTTTTTTTTGTTTTTGCTTTTTGTTTCAGAATATTTTAGTCCTAAATAAACATCAACAACCTGTTGGACCTGAGTGTTGTGCTTTTAGGTGCACATGCTTTGAGCAGATGATCGATTAAAGGGGCCATATCATGGAAAATCCACTTTTTGGAGCTTTTTAGCATTGTAATATTGTTGTTTCCTCTTGAAAAACACCCCCCGAATCCATTTTTGGCTGAATTTAGCATTTTCCTGTTTCAATTGCAAATTTTGAATTTTATTTTGAAAATCTTCAAACGGCCAAATATACAAGTTGTACGTCACTTCATCTTTCTGTTCCCAACATCAGGCTGTGCTCCTCCCCCAGAAGCCAATCTCTGGTCTGATACCTGTCTCCCCGGCCAGCAGATATGGGATAGGTGATGAATATGGAATAAACTTGGTAGTCTAGTGGTAAGTGTGCTGAAGGTAGATGACTTCACCACTGGACTACCATAGCCAATCCAGTAGGCAACTCGCAAAAGATGCTGTTGTTGGCATGTTTTGTCTGAGCGGGCATAGGCAAAATTTCACATAAACAAACTTTTATTTCATGATATAGAACATTTAAAATACACAGGCTGTTGGAGACTGAAACCTCAAACTGGAAAACAAACAAACAAGAAAAACATGAATAAGGAAAAAGGCTAATTATGGATTCCAGTTCCTGTTGAATGTTTTGTAGAAAGGTGCACACAGTAGGCTTTTGTATTTATTTCAGTATTATGATAGTCAAACATTTCTGTAGGTTTTATAATTGAAACTGTTAATTTGGAGAAGGGAAATAAACGATTGCTTTGTAATAGTAGGCATTTTTCAACTATTCCTTTAAATATTTATGATGGACTAGGAAGGAAAATCTTTTTGCACACAGCCCCATCAATATTTTTTTTTCACCTGTCGCCACAGTCAACAACCTATAGCTTTCCTGACACCTGATGCTTTTTCCCTATCAACTTTTTTGTATCAACTAGTTGTAGAAATGGCTTCTGGCCTCCTGTCTCTGAAGGTTTCCCAGCCACATCCCACCAGTAGCAGACCCCATGGAGGATACGTAACCCCCCAGAACTCACTGGAAGGATTACCGTATATGTTCCCTCTGGGAACTGGGAATGTTTTGGGATCCCACAGGAAGTGTCTCTGGGTAAAGGCATGTCTGTTACCTTGACCCCGCCCTGTAAGTGGTGGAAAATGAGGACGGACGGATGGATGGATAACACAAGTGTAGAAAAAGCTTTGAGTTACCAGATGCCAAACCTTTTATTTCCTCAGCAGCTTAGAGAACAATCAATCCTGACAGATTTCAATGAAGCTTCTGACAATTCTGGGAAACACTGATCATGTTCTCCTCCTGACCTCCATGTTTGGAGATCAAATCTAACTCACAGTGTCAGAGCAAAGTCTCTCCTGAGCTTTATCTGATATAAAAAAAAATACAGCTTTTGGAACCAATTAAGAGGTTTGAGTTAGAGGAGGAAGATTATCTTTTTAACTCATGCTTTTAATCCATGTGGCTCTTGCATGGTTCAATCCCTCCACGGAGCAGAGGTTCCTGAGGGCAGCAGGGAGAACTAATGTGCTTAGTTTCATCTGATAACTTGAGTCCTTTACTTGCTTTGCTGTGCTCCGCTCTGATTAAGCTGTTAGAGAAGTGCTTTTTGATTGTTATAGTTAGGCAGCCCAGCAGAGCGGAGTGGAGGTGAAAAATGCCCTCATCTGAGTGTTTATGTGTGTTTTGGCCTCTAGCTGCTGAGTTACTGTCTGTGTTTACAAGTCTTCTGCAGCTACGAACCTGATGTTCTTTACCAAAGTCTATTCAGATAGCTTGATTTACAGTTCTGATCAAAAGTTTAAGACAACTTGATAAATGGCCAAAAATCATATTTTGCACGGTTAGACCTGAACAAGGTTCCAAGCAGAGCTTTAGCATGCAACAAGAAGAAATGGGAGAGCAACAATTTATTGAAAACAGTGCTTCAACTGAAACGGGCTGTTTTACAGCTGATCATGATTGAGACATTACCTGTTTTGGGATTATTTCACTGTAGTAATCTTACTTTATTATTACACTCTGCACCTTTAAATCTAACAGATTTTCTGCATTTAGTCTTTTCTTGGACAAGTTGCCCCTGTGAGACGTGCAAATACAAAAACACACTGTTAAAAGAACAATGTGTGTTTTATTGATTAATCGTGATGATCTGTTTCCCTGATTAATTCATTTAAAACTCAGTGAACCATCGTTTGGCTCGGACGGTGTTTCATTTGAACTGACCACAAACACTAGACAATTATATTATTGATCTTTTGTGCAAATTTCAGCAGCCAACTCCTCTAATTTAATTAAGAGTATTCGAAACTTCATTAACATAAATTTGTGATAAATTCACATTTTTTGTTTCTCTTTATCTTTCTTGTCTCCACAGCAACAAATCTGTTTACCGTCAACTAAGTTGAGTAGGAAACTGACACATTTTGGATCAACCAAACTGTGACTTTGAGCATTTGTAGAATTAAATGAGTCAGTGAACTGAGTGATTGTTGACTGTTGCACGTTTTGATTGTTTGTACCAACAGAATATTAGTTTACTCATCTTTGTTTTATTGTTAAATGGCTGCTGAGCATTTAGCTACTGTAAACATTGTTTTATTAAACTCATTCAGATGAGAAAGCGTAAAAATCACAGTATTGATGTCAACCTGCATCAGTTTCTCACTCATCGCAGAGGAAAAATACCTTAAAACACACTAAAATATCAAAATAAATGGGAAAAATGGTTATTTTTATATTACTAATAATACAAATGATCAATGAAAGGAATCATATTCTTCGTCTATCTTTCTGTTCTGTGAGCAGCACCTGGAGGAGCAGGAGGAAGAGGAGGCCCAAGGAGGTGAAGGGGAGCCCCTCGGAGAGCCTGAGTGGGCCCTGAAGCAGGAACGCGAGGAGAACCGGCGCCTGCTGGCGGAGAGCCACGGCGAGTCACTGGAGCTTCGCTGGAAGCTGCAGCACGGAGAGAAGAGGTGGAGCCGGGAGAGGGCCGAGCTCCTGGAACGCTTCGATTGGGAACGCCAGGAGTGGGACAGAAGCATGAAGGAGCTCCAGCGCCAGATGGAGAGGGTGAGAAACTTTAAAGATGACAAATTAAGTTCATCCACTAAAGATATGTTTGCTGAGGAAGATGAAGACAACTGGGCGTGTTCTCGAGCGTCGTCTACTAGCTTCAGGACTCACTGTTCATAATGAAGCTTACAGAGAACATCAGAAGGCATATGCAAGAGCAATGAGAGCCACAAGATCACAGTTTTACTCGAATATCATTAACAATAGCTCTGGAAATTCAAAGCAGCTGTTCTCTACTATAAATCGCCTTTTGAAACCACAATTTCAATCTCATATGGAAGCTACAGAGGGGAACAGCAATAACATCATTACCTTCTTCAGGAAAAAAGTGGATACCATCCGTTCATCTTTATCGAGTTCCTTTGCACTTCCTGTCTTGTTGGATGACCCACAGCCAGGGAACTTTCAACCCTTTAGCTGTTTCTCTACAGTTACACATCAAGAGGTTGAGGTCATTGTCAGAAAGATGAAACCATCAAATTGTTCTCTGGACCCTTTTCCTACAGTTTTGGTTAAATCCAACATTTGTGCCATAAGTCCCCTGATTACCAGGATAATAAATCACTCTCTCCAGACTGGATATGTTCCTGCTACATTGAAATCTGCCATCATCAGACCACTTTTAAAAAAATCTACTTTAGATCCAGAAGTACTTGCAAACTACAGGCCCATTTCTAACCTCCCGCTTCTTTCTAAAATACTGGAAAAAGTAATTGCTGCACAGCTTCAGTCTCATCTCGAAGCAAATAATTTGTTTGAGAAATTCCAGTCTGGCTTCCGCTCCTGCCACAGCGTGGAAACAGTTCTGGTTAGGTACGAATGACCTGCTGATGTTGGCTGATGCTGGTTTCCCATCGCTTCTCATCCTGTTGGACCTGTCCTCAGCCTTTGATACTGTTGATCACGACATTCTGCATCACAGATTACGTCACACTGTTGGACTCTCTGACTCTGTCTACAATTGGTTCGCATCTTATCTTACTGAAAGAACGGAGCATGTTGCCCTGGGAGAGGCTAAATCTGCTATACACAATGTCACCTGTGGTGTTCCTCAGGGCTCTGTGCTCGGTCGGATTTTGTTCGTATTATATATGCTTCCCCTGGGTCATATCATCAGCCAGCATGGTATTTTATTCCATTGTTATGCTGATGATACTCAGCTTTATCTCAGGATAAATTCCACCTCCTCGTCTACTCCGCCATCATCCACTTTGACCATCTGTTTGGAGGAGATAAAGTCATGGATGAAGTAAAATTTCATGCAGCTAAACAGCTCTAAGACTGAAGGTATTTTAGTAAATGGTAAATGGCCTGTGTTTGATATAGCGCCTTCTAGAGTCCTGGAACCCCCCAAGGCGCTTTACAACACAATCAGTCATTCACCCATTCACACACACATTCACACACTGGTGAGGATGAGCTACAATGTAGCCACAGCTGCCCTGGGGCGCACTGACAGAGGCGAGGCTGCCGAGCACAGGCGCCGCCGGTCCCTCCGACCACCACCAGCAGGCAAGGTGGGTTAAGTGTCATGCCCAAGGACACAACGACAGCGACATACTGAGCGGGGCTCGAACCTGCAACCTTCCGATTGCGAGGCAAGCACTTAACTCCTGTGCCACCGTCGCCCCACACCAGGCACCCCACACCAGGTTAGGTCATCTAACATCAACTGTTTTACCTTTTCTAGTCAGGATATCCCACTGTCAACATCTGTTATAAACCTTGGGGTTAAAATGGACTCGAGTTTGACGTATGGGGCCCATGTGAAGCATCTGTGTGAAACATCTTTTTTCCACCTCAGGAATATAGCTAAACTGTGTCCAGCACTAACGTTTGCTGATGCGGAAAAGTTGGTCTATGCGTTTGTCTCCTCCAGGCTGGATTTCTGCAAAGCACTTCTCATTGGGACCACTGGAAAAATCCTTCAAAAGCTGCAGTATATTCAGAACTGTGTTGCTAGGATCCTGATGAGAGGACGCAAATATGACCATATTACGCCCATTCTTAAATCTCTTCACTGGCTCCCTGTTTCATCTAGAATTGATTACAAGGTTGCCCTTCTCACCCACCAGTGTATTTATGGGGATGCCCCCCCCCCCCCCCCCCACACACACACACACACACTTACCATCACCACCTTAAAGAACTTCTGTTTTCACAGACGTCCACACGCAACCTCCGCTCTGCATCAGTACATCTTTTGAAAACTCCAAAGACTAAACTTCGCACCATGGGAGAGCGAGCTTTTTGCTCAGCTGCACCCAGACTTTGGAATTCCCTCCCAGGGCATCTGAGGATACCACAGACAATTGGTGCTTTTAAATCTGGTCTTAAAACTTATCTTTTTACCAGAGCTTTTGGGTTAAATTAACTTTGTAGCACTTTGAGATTTGTTTCAAATGTAAAGTGCTTTATAAATCAAATGTATTAGTATTAGACGTAAACCTTTAGGGCAGCTGCCAAATGCACAAAGAGATGGATTAAAAAATATTCCTCTGTTTGTTTAGTCCTGCAATAGGAATTCAAAGTTTCAAGCAGGTAAAATAACTTTTCTTTACGTTTCGCACCATTTTAGTCCAATTTTCTCTTCGTCATAAGTCTGCAAAGGCAAATTTTTATTGAAATTAGATTTTTCCCAAATGTGGCTCCATTTATTTTCAACATAAAACAAAAGTTACAAAGTAATTATTAAATAATACAAACAACTTTTTTACAGACCAGTATGGGTGTGTGGGTGAGGGTGGGTGGTCACACACAAATAAAATATTAGACAAAAACATCAAATTTATTTTTTAAACATAATGTAATTTCTAATGCTGCCAAATCAGATCTAAAATACAAGATTATATGATTTCTTTAAAGATGGTAATTTTTTTTCTGTGTATCTTAAATGATCCATAATAATAATAATAATAATAATAATGACTAAACAACCATAACAATGTTGCTCAAATGATGATTTCATCTTTCCTTTTATAATTTAGTATACTTTACAGGCCCTTCTCAAAGTAATTCAAGCTTTTTATTGTTTCTAATGTTGATGATTTTGGCATACAGCTCATGAAAACCCAAAATTCCTATCTAAAAAAATTAGCATATTTCATCTGACCAATAAAACAAAAGTGTTTTTAATACAAAAAAAGTCAACCTTCAAACAATTATGTTCAGTCATGCACTCAATACTTGGTCGGGAATCCTTTTGCAGAAATGACTGCTTCAATGCCGCGTGGCATGGAGGCCATCAGCCTGTGGCACTGCTGAGGTGTTATGGAGGCCCAGGATGCTTCAATAGCGGCCTTAAGCTCATCCAGAGTGTTGGGTCTTGCGTCTCTCAACTTTCTCTTCACAATATCCTACAGAGTCTCTATGGGGTTCTGGTCAGGAGAGTTGGCAGGCCAATGGAGCACAGTAATACCATGGTCAGTAAACCATTTACCAGTGGTTTTGGCACTGTGAGCAGGTGCCAGGTTGTGCTGAAAAATGAAATCTTCATCTCCGTAAAGCTTTTCAGCAGATGGAAGCATTAAGTGCTCCAAAATCTCTGATAGCTAGCTGCATTGGCCCTGCTCTTGATAAAACACAGTGGACCAACACCAGCAGCTGACATGGCACCCCAGACCATCACTGACTGTGGGTACTTGACACTGGACTTCAGGCCTTTTGGCATTTCCCTCTTGATTTCTGAATGACATGCAAAATTTGCTTTCCTCTGAAAAATGTGCTTTGGACAACTGAGCAACAGCCTAATGCTGCTCCTCTGTAGCCCAGGTCAGGCGCTTCTGCCGCTGTTTCTGGTTCAAAAGTGGCTTGACCTGGGAATGCGGCACCTGTAGCCCATTTCCTGCACATGCCTGTACACGGTGGCTCTGGATGTTTCTACTCCAGACTCAGTCCACCGCTTTTGCAGGTCCCCCAAGGTCTGGAATTGGTCCTTCTTCACAATCTTCCTCAGGGTCCAGCTACCTCTTCTCATTGTGCAGCGTTTTCTGCCACACTTTTTCATTCCCACAGACTTCCCACTGAGGTGCCTTGATACAGCATTCTGGGAACAGCCTATTCGTTCAGAAATTTCTTTTGTGTCTTACCCTCTTGCTTGAGGGTGTCAATGATGGCCTTCTGGACAGCAGTCAGGTCGGAAGTCTTACCCATGATTGCGGTTTTGAGTAATGAACCGGGCTGGGAGGTTTTAAAAGCCTCAGGAATCTTTTACAGGTGTTTAGAGTTAATTAGTTCATTCAGATGATAAGGTTGATAGCTCATTTAGAGAACCTTTTCTTGATATGCAAATTTTTTTAGATAGGAATTTGGGGTTTTCATGAGCTGTATGCCAACATCATCAATATTAGAAACAATAAAAGGCTTGAACTACTTCAGTTGTGTGTAATGAATCTAATATATATGAAAGTCTAATGTTTATCAGACAATAATGAACTTTATCACAATATGCAAATTTTTTGAGAAGGACCTGTATGTTTGTACAGTAAAAAGTGTAGGTTAGCCCTGAATTCAGGATCTTTGTTCAGTCGTCTGTTGTATATGGAATAAATACTGAGCAGAACTGAATAATTCATGTCCTTTTATGCACTTTATCTGGATTTTTTGCCCTTTGTTTGTTGCCTGATGGTCAAAGATTGAAGTAAGAGGCAGATTATGGTGAAACGAGTGTATTATCATATAAAACACGAGCAGGAATACGACCCTCTTAATGCCACTCTGCAAAAATAATTAAATAAAATGCTTAAGCACGAGGATAAGAGGATACGAGGCAGGAAGCAGAGCTGCATAATTCAGCAGAGCTGCAGGAAGCCATGAAACTCAGATCAAGGAGGAGACTGTTCTTCTCTGAACTTCAAGGATTAAACAAGATCCAAAAATGCAAAAACAAATTATGTTTAATTGAAATAATATTATTTGCCAACAGCCTTTCCTGCGTGTTCATGACCAGCCACTGAACTTCATGCAGCTTTATATATCAGCCTGTTGAGAGCTAATTACAGGATTGTAATGAACGTACGCATCATTACGCTGAATTTTCTGTTCTTTCTTCCTAAAAATGAATCTTTTATTGAAAAGTTATTTATCATTTGAACATATTTAAAGTAAAGCTATATTTTTAGCTACTGAAAAAAAGTGATTCAGACACAAAGGTAATTAGCTCAGAACTTGGGGAGTTTTTAGCTTTTCAGTGTCTGTTTAAATTTATATTTAAAATACTGAAATATTTTAGTAATCAAATTTTATTCTTAGAATCTTTTAGAAGTTATCTTTAAAATTACATTTTTTATGGTTTTAATGTAAATCCGTCTGTTTGGTAGGTTTGTTAGAGACACACAAACATGAGAGTTAACGTTTCATTTTTGTTTTTGTGGTTTTCTTCTCTGTCAGAATGAGGATTTTTCAGTTTTGACTCCTTATAATTAAGCTGTATATTAAAAAAAATCAAGTTGTTTTTTTAAATAAAGTGACATCTAACATCATGTGGAACCATAAATTATTTGCTTGTTTAATATAAATAGATCCGGTTTATCATAATTCTGGAAATGAAAAAACTGAGCATAAAGAAATCTGCTCTTTTTTTCTCCAGCGGGTTCAGACAAACTTTAAAAACATCATCTTTGTTTGTTTGTGCTTCTTTCATCCCTGCAGATGCAGAGGGAGCTGAACGCCAGAAGAGGCGAAGGCACAGACATCAAAGACGGCGGAGTTTCGGCCCATAGGGGGATGTTCTCACCTCAGGATAGTCCATTCAGCGCCCCGCGCTCTCCTCGTGCTCCCAGATCCCCCTGTGCATTCACGCCTGTTCCCCCCACGCGCTCCCACTCAGACTCAGAGGCCTTGCTGGAGGAGCAGGGGGCTGCCATGAGGCTGAAAGGACCGACAGAGAACCTGTTCCTGGACGCCCTGTCTCTGGACCCCCTCTGTGGTCTTGAAGCCCCGCTCCCTTCAAGACTAGAGAGTGAGAAGAAGTTCCCCTGCATGAAGGAGGTAATTTTGACCTTATAAAGGTGCCTGTCCACATTATTTCCTCACTCTTGTCTTTATAAATAACTATATACTAAAAGTAAGACTTGCAGTACTCAGAGTCCCCACTAGAAGGCAGAAGAGAAGTTGGTTTTAGAAGACCATACCAATCCTGCTAACGAGATAGAGCAACAGAAAGCGTTTGAGCTCATGACTCTGCTGTTTCAGGCTCTGAATGAGATCTCAGAGAGCGAAGAAGCTCCTGTTCACCCAGAAGACGAGATGAGAGAAGGTGGAAGTCTCCTCAGGTAATGTTTAGAGAAAACTTCCAGATGCCAGATGACTGCTGATGAATAATTCAGACAGTTTAAAAACACAGGTGTGTGTGTGTGTATATGTGTGTGTATTCAGGGCCAAGTCTGTGTGCTCCATGAGTGACTTCCAGAGGTTGATGGACAGTTCGCCGTTCCTTCCCGACAAAACGCGCCCCGGCGATCGCATCCGAGATGACATCACCCCCCCTCTTTCTCCTGACGACCTCAAGTACATTGAGGAGTTCAACAAAAAGGGCTGGGATTTCCCATCAGCCACCTCTGGCACACGTCCGCTCCGAGAAGGGGAGCCGGGTCCCGACCCATTCCAGCCAACCTCCTGGTTCTTCACCACCAGCGCCACTCTGACCACCAGCACCCTGAGCAGCCCTGAGCACTGCCACAAGTCCCCGCTCAGGAGCAACGGGGCTGGGGTAGGGATGGAGCACTACGGAGTCCACATCCTCCACAGTCCCACGAGAACCGGGACAGCTGAGCGAGCCTCCGTCCCGGACCCAGACTTGTTGTACTCCAAAGGGAGCAGGGCCAGGACCGAAGGAGAGGCTGGGATGGGGGCCAGTGGATCGGACGAGGTGCTCGGCAGTGCGAGGTGGCCCTGTCTCCTGGAGGGTGGGGGACTCAGGACTTCTCCTAGACAGTCCCCCATCTGCTCCACGGTGGGCTACGCATCCTCTTTGGAGCTCCAGCTTCACAGGAACATGAGCGACGATATGAAGGAGGTGGCCATCTCTGTGAGGAACGCCATTCGCTCCCCTCCTGGACCCGTGTTCCGCGACACCGCCTGTCAGACCAATGGGGTCACCACACGGGGAACTCAGACCACCCAGACCATCAGCGTGGGTCTGCAGACGGATCTGCTGCGGAACCTGACCAGCAGCCCTCACCGCTGCCTCACCCCAAAAGGTGGAAACACCCCCATCTCCTCCCCTTCCCGCAGCACCAGGAAGGTCCAGTACTCTCCGGTGGTCCAGAGCAAGTTCGAGAGACCCTGCTGCTCGCCAAAATTTGGTTCCCCGAAGCTTCAGCGCAAACTGTCCACATCCAATAAAACCGAGGTACCCAACAACAGCCGCACGCCGCCCCCCACCACGCCGCAGAAGGGCAACAGTGAGTCGGCGTGGGCCCGCTCCACCACCACCAGGGACAGCCCCGTCCACACCACCATCAACGACGGCCTGTCCAGCCTCTTCAACATCATCGACCACACGCCTGTGGTCTTCGACAAGTTCAACAAGTCCCCCAGCCGCTCCCGCCCCACGCCGCCTCCCACCGCTGAGCCCAGCCCCGCCCACCATGGGAGTCTCCCCTCGGACCCCAGGAACTCACAGGACAACCTGCGACCTACTCGAGGGCGCTCGCCGAGCCCCGTGCATCTGATAGTGGAGACTCAGGGGGACAAGAACCCGGAGGTGGTGAGCATCCGTCAGGATCTGTCCACCCCACCCGGGTACTCGCTGGCAGAGAACGCCGCCCGCATTCTCAACAAAAAGCTGCAGGAGCAGAACTTCAAGGAAGAGCGAAGGCTGCAGGCTGGAGGACCGAGCATCCATGGCAGAGACGGCGGCAGGCAGGCCGACTCGGACAGAGGACAGACTGGATGCATGGAGGTAAATATTCAGACCCTTTATCTTTCACTTGCTATAGGCTCCATGTTTTATGACGCCCTGTTTTCTGCGATAGGATGGATTTCCCCAAAAAATCTGAAGATAAATTAAAGACATTGGCGTTTTAATGATTAAATCTTCATGCTTTCTTCCTCAGATGGAAAGCACTGACTGATGCGATGGTAACGTTTAATTATTTAAACTTCCTCACAGTTTTCGCTGCATGTAGAAACTCTTCTTCTGTAGCTTCCTTCTTCCTGTTAGTTTGCTTCCATCTTAAAGCGTGTCTGGACATCAGGGAACTGATATTAATCAGATCAGTTGTTGATCTGAAAGTTCGACCAGAATTAGAAAATCTGACATTTCTTCAGGTGAGAAAAAGGAAATTTGTTGATTAAAATCAGTGCTTTATTAACAGTAATACATGCTACAGTAAACAACATTTTTCTGATGGTTTATGGTGCATGGATGGATGATTTAAAACTCCAGAGCCTGTCTCGGGTGTCACAGAGCAGGAGACGCACTCAAAGCCGCCTTAGACCTAAAATAAAATCATAAATATGGACGTTGAGCCACAGAATCCAGCATATGCCGACTTATAAACCTCTCCTGCTGTCGATCACTGACCAAAGCAAAAAGACTGAGTTTTCTGCTTGATTGGAGGAAAACAACAGATGTGACTTAATGTGAAGCTGTTGTCGTGGCATGAAGCTGAACATGGATCAGATTTTAGTGCTTCTGGGTATTTTTTTTTTCAGGTTTATTGAGTTTGAACTACTTCCTGTGTCATCTGCAGGCTGAAGCCCGTACTCAGGGTTACAGATTAACATTTCCTGCTTTATATATTTTTTCTCCTCCTCTCTGGACTTGATCTGTCCCTCTTCCTTCGTGTCTGCTGTGATCTGATCCAGAACCACACTGTCATACTAACTACTCCTTGGGGACTCTAACCCTGCTTGTCTCCGTGATGTAAGTTCCTCCTCCTCCTCCTCGGATTCACCAGGCTCACGGATCTTTCACTCCACGTCCTGCAGACCCCCCTACCTCTTTCACACACACTCTCACACCCTCTTCATTAAAGCATGCCTCACAGGTCAGCAGAGAGTGTGAAGCCATCGACGTGATGTTAAAAGTTGTGCACCAACCCCTTCCTGTTGATGTATGCATGCCTAATGTTTGAAATAAATCATCTGTTTATTTCTTCAGTATCTTACTGGTGGTTTTGCATGACGTTCTCCATTAAACATCTCCACGTTACTTCATTTATTGAGGCATTGTGCATTCTCAGAATTAAAATCTCACTCAGATTTTCTGCAAGCATATTATAAAGCTCAGAGCCAATGTTTGCAACATATGAATGTTTTAGACCCTTATTTTGAAAGGATTACAGAAGGTGGATTAGTGGTCGCTGCTGCAGAGGTAGACTGCTTTGTATTGGTGAAAATGCCTTTTTTTATACTAGAATTATATTAGTTACTAATATAATTTATAATATTAATATTAACAATTAGAACCGATAGAGTCTAACTCCTAATTTCAGATATCAAAACAAACCAATAGCAGTATATGTGGGGTCCCCCATTAATAAACAAAAAATAAACCGTTTTAGGTAAAAACATATTCCCTTTCATGAAAACACTAACTTTAAAGATTATTTGTGCAAAATATGACAATTTAAATTTAGGTTGTGCCAACCAAACAATCAATATCTCAAACTTTACCTCAGATCTGGCATATTTAGACATTTTGTGTGAGAGGAGAAGTAGCTGATGAGTACGATGTTAAATACGTGCTTGGGATGTAAAAGCTGCATCATTAAAGAGTAAAAACCAGTACAGATCATTTTGATGTTCCATTTTAATACCAATATCAGCCAGTAACATCAGAATAATAATAATAATAATAATAATAATAATAATAATAAGTATTTTAGCACTCAATGAAAGATTGATGACATTATCAAATGGAAACATTGATAAACCAGTAAAAATACATTATTTTGTCATTTTTAGGGGACAAATCAATAGTTGGCATGCACAAAATCAGCTGATATTAGTGGTTCTTAAAGAACACACCTAAAACTGAGTTGCTTATATAATTGTAGAGTGATGGACTTCACTACATATGATCAATAAGATGTGAAATTCCATGTAAATATGAATTATCAATCAGATTGGTCTTTGAATATTTGACTTAATATTACCTTAGGTTCCTTGACTATCCAGTGAACACACACTTCATATTAATTCAGACCGAGTCAAGGATATAATTTATGAAATGAATTTAATTCTGTCTTTCTAAACTAATGATTAGACATGACAACGTACGAATGAAATGATGGTTGTACAAGATAACAGGCAATGAATGAAGTGGTGAAATATAAGCTAGATGTTTTGTAGCAAAACATTAAGTGTCTGAGAGATCTTGTGATGGTAACGAGAAGGAGAAGTTACCAGGTACTTATTTTGTGTGTATTACTATGTGTGTGTGCGCATGTTCAAAATAAGGATAATAAAGACAAAGAGAAAGACAGAAGTTATAAAATCAGTTTGACTGTATGGTTTAACAAGCTATAGATTATTCATAAAATTCAATTCAAGTTTATTTATATAGCACCAAATCACGACAAGTCGTCTCAAGGGACATCACATAATAAACATTCCAATTCAGGTCAGTTCATTAAGCCAATCAGAAAAAAGTTTCCTATATAAGGAAACCAGCAAATTGCATCGAGTCACTGACTAGTGTCAGTGACTTTACAGCAATCCTCATTTTAAGCAAGCATGCAGCGACAGTGGAGAGGAAAACTCCATTTTAACAGGAAGAAACCTCCAGAGGATCCTGGCTCAGTATAAGCAGCCCTCCTCCACGACTCACTGGGGATCGAGAAGACAGAGCAGACACACACACACACACACACACACACACACACACACACACACACACAACATTTATACCAATGTGTCTATGGTTACATTGTGATTTCTTAGTAAATATTATATTTGGTGAGCGATAAACTTTATTGTATTTATCCTAGTGAATCTGTAATTAAACGGGTAAACTAGTAGTAGCACATTCAATGTCAAATAAAGTAAAATGTTATCATCAGGAGAGGGAGAATGTTTAAGTGGTTAGCAACAGTGTTCAAGCCGATGGCCACGTCTGAGGTGTTGTAGTGTCTGATACACCACTCGCAAGCGTTGCAGAGAGGCTTTGACCTTGAGTCTAAAGAGAGGATGGTCCCAAGTGCTTGCTCACCGAGTCGGCCTAACCGAGTAAGCTGGCTGAGAACTGGTTAGTTCAGGAAGTGAACTCTAATTTTTCTCAGCTCCTGGTTACAAATTTAGACTAATCAGAATTTGACAAGTTTAAAGTCTTTACCAAAATACCTCAGGCAATCACTCCTTCACCCAGATACTTAGAGAGGTTATTCTTAGTGTGAAGTAAAAACATTTAACCATTAATGATAATATAGTATCATTACATTGTTCATACTGATACATTAACATTATTAAAATCAACAAACACTAATCTGGTGTAATTTAAGATCTGAAATTGATCATTACAGAAAAAAAAAACATTTGAACCCATCATTCACTAATGTAGAGTACTGGACACATTATTAAAACACTTTGGATATTTTTCCTTCAACAACACATAACACATATGAAATCATAAAGTACTTTATGAGCCAGGGAAGATGAGCTTTATTCAGAGAGGATGGATAAGAAGTCCTGTGTCTTTGCAGCCTTGAGGACTCACGACGTTCGCAGGATTTGTTAAGAATATTGGCTCAACTTCATCGACTTCATATCGGCACCGCGGTGTCAGATTGGCCTGTATGAGAAGTTTAGCCTGTAAGTTAAAAGTTAACTTCTGGTCGTTTTGGTGAAACATTTGGCCATTTGGCTCACTACATAAAAAAATCTCTATGTTTCTCACTAATGTGTTTACATGCTGGGTCAGAAACCCAAATAATTATTTTAGTCTGAGTGAATTCAGACTTTTGAAATGCGTGTCAACACCTGAGTCTGGCTGAAAATGAACTACTGCTAATCAAGCCAAGGTTCCCTGATGATGTGGTTAAAAGCAGAATTTATCTGCATGTAAACAAGATTCCAGCTTAGCTGAGCTATGGGGCAATGCTGGCAGAGGAGTTAAATGCCCACCCCATAATCACAAGGTTGCAGGTTCGAGCCCCTCTCAGTCCGTCGCAGTCGTTGTGTCCTCGAGCAAGACAAAAGTATGTGTTTGGACAGGAGGTGGAAATGCTGCAGAAAATCTCTAAAGTTTCTAGTTGATTCTGTTCTCGAACGTTTATCATCTGGTGATGAGTCATGCAAAACCACTGGTGTGATCATGTTTATGTGTTTAGCAGACAATTTTGTCCAAAGCGACTTACAAGTTATAATCGGCATGTTGCCCTTGAGGCTAACAACAACAACAACAACAACAACAAACAATTTCCAGTCAGTCGTAGGTAGCAGTGAGGCAGCATGATGAATCATGGAGAGGAGGGATCAAGGAGTGGACAGTAGAGAGGGGGGACGGGTGCAGGGAGGGTGCTAGTTAAGAAGTGCTCTCTGAAGAGCAGGGTCTTCAGGAGTTTCTTGAAACTTGAAAAGGAAGCCCCTGTTCTGGTAGTGCTTGGTAGCTCATTCCACATTTGTGGAACGATGCATGAGAAGAGTCTGGATTGTCCTGAGTGTGGTGTAGGCACTGCTAGCCGACGATCTTGTGATGACCGGAGCGGCCGAGCCGAGACGTAAGCCTTTGCAAGAGGATTCAGGTAAATGGGAGCCGTACCATCTCGGACTTTGTATGCTAATGTTAGCAATTTGAATTTTATGCGTGCTGCTAGCGGTAGCCAGTGGAGCTCAATGAACAGAGGAGAGACGTGTGCTCTTTTTGGCTGATTGAAGACCAGACGTGCCGCTGCGTTCTGGACCATTTGAAGAGGTCTCGCATTACAGGCCGGAAGACCAGTTAGAAGGGCATTGCAGTAATCGAGGCGGGAGATGACAGTAGATTGCACCAGGAGCTGGGTGGCATGTTGTGTTAGGTATGGTCTGATCTTTCATATGTTATACAGCGCAAAGCGGCACGAACGAGCAACAGAGGCAAAATGATCTTTAAAGGTCAGGTGTTCATCAATCACAACACCCAGATTTCGAACTGCCTTTGAATGAGCCAGAGATAGGAAGTCATTTTGGATTGAGATATTGTGCTGTATGGATGGTTTTGCTGGGATGACAAGTAGTTCAGTTTTAGAGAGGTTGAGTTGGAGATGGTGGGATTTCATCCATTTTGATATGTCAGAGAGTTGCGTCTCCATTACTGGTGGTGTTTCATTTAAAACTTATGTCCATGATGAACAATACACACACACACACACACACACACACTTCAGGTTGGTTACTGAGTGAGCCGATTCTAACTCCATTTCCACCAGGTCCTTCTGTCACCATATGGACTGTGGTGGTTTTCCATGATCTTGTGAACCTGTGTCTGTGCCTTCATATTCTTCTCAAATACTCCTAATCCTAAAGATTAACAGATGAAGATGCCTGCTAAAACCCATCTCTTTCTGTTCTCTCTCGCTTGTCTCTATTTGTGATCTAATTGGGTTTTATTGTGCTCTTGGCATGCTTAATAGGAAAAATTAACTTTTACACCCTTAAAATCGATGGTGCAATGATGGAAACCCAACTAATGATTCAGTGAAAGTGCACTTGGAGAAAGTGTGCAGTAAGGCTTCGAGTGTGTGGTACACAAGTGTGCAGATAATTGCAGATTTTAGACGGGCAGCATAGCATCATCGAGTCCAACGCATGCCAGGAGGCTGGTCGCTGTGATACTTTTTTCAAAAACCTTTAACAACTTTCAAACAAACAACCAAACAGTTTTTTTTAATAAATTTAAATTCATTGCTGCTTCATCTAAAACATTCAAAGCATCAACTAATCATCCTAAAATGAACTAATTTCATTAGAAAATACATATTTTCATTAAAGGAACTTGAGCCGTTTCTCCCGCATCAATGCAGACTTGGGTGAAGTGCAGATCAAGGGCGCAAAAAGGGCGTGATCAACTTCCGTACTTGAGAATCGGGACACCCTACGCACTCGCACCCCTGGTCGGGATTGTGCAATTGCAGGGTGGAAGTGTGAGTACTGGGATTGGGCCTATCTCTTTAAATCAGCAGCTGATTAAAAGGCTTCTGTAGAGCTAGGTGAACAGGTAATTCAACCCTTGAATCAGGTGTCTTGGTAAACAACCCAAACATGCTGGACATTGGTCCTCCAGGATCAGGACACACACGCATTTAAATAAATTCAAAATAAGCAGGTTGTGTTTTTCTTTAAAACGAACAAACAAAATGAGCCGGTGTGGGACTTGATGAGAACGACCGTGTTTCCAGACTGAGATTTTAGCACAAGCTCAGAAGCATTGGCTTCTAAAGAGTCTATAAGTGTTTGAATGTGGATTTTACCTGTCAGGTCAAAGGAGCAGGTCACTGTTTCTAAACATTCTCATTACTGATGTATTCTCTGAAAAACCGTGTAAAAACCCACAAATCCTCCCGTCGGGCGAGACGCGTGCTTACGGTGCAGACAAGGTCCATCAGTTGATTTATCAGAGCCTTCACGTCCTCGTTATCTTTAGCTCTACGGGTCGTTAGTGACTTCCTGCAGGTCGAACCGGATCGTTGCTCGACTCTCACCGTGTCCCCTCATCCTTCAGCTGAAATGTCAGACTCGGAAATGCACTATTTATAAGCTAGACCCCTGATCAGATTATTCCTACCTCCTGGAAGGACTCAGAAGAGATTTGTTTTGTTAACAAATTGTGCATTCTCTACATAGGAGGAAATATTTGGCCTCAAAACTATAAAACTAGAAGAAAGTTGTTCAGCTAAATTAAAAGAAATGCATATAAACGTTTAATTCCTTCCAGCTCTGCACATTTTTAATTGAAACCAGCTGTGTTGAAGTAGGAAACATCAAAAACATCTGGATCGGAAACCTGCTGAAAGCCTGAAACTTTGATTTTTTTTTGTTTAAAACACTTAAAACAAAGAAGATTCCAATTAAATGTTGTTCTTTTATATGTGGATGTTATTATATTAAGTGATTTCTCGTGTATTTGAGCAGATTCCTGTTATCTCACTGTAGTGGAAGTATGATAACAGCAGGATTTTGGCCATTTTTCCTCAAACAAAGCTGGAAATAATGTAATCATCTATTTTAGAGCCTTTTCAAAAAGACTTGATAAATATTGACTTTAAGCTACAATTATTAATGATTTCCTATTGTTTCCGCTCATTTCTGTGGTCTGAACTTGTTGTTTTTAATCTCAAATCTAATCTTAGATTATTTCATCGTATAAAACATTTGTTCAGGTAAATAAAAGCAGAAAACGAAAAAAATGGGGATAAAACAAGTTTTAAAAGTAGTTTTAAATCAGGGCCCACACAGAAGAGAGGAAGAAGCTACCGTCTGGTGGGTCCAGTAATAATAAAAGCTGTTATTGTTTCTTCAAGATGCCCAAAAGGAACATTTTAATGTTTCTTTATTCAAAATTGGGATTCTATAAAAGTCTTGATTTAGAAATGTCCCTTATTTTTTTATTAACATAATTTAACCATTTGGATCTTTCCGCTTTTCTCTTGTCCAAAGTTCTCAGTTTGAATCTCTTTACTTCCTCTCTTACGGCTCCTTGTCATTAGCAGGACCTGCCCCGGTCTCCAGTGGCTCCACCTTTGGACTCCTGCTTTCTGAGACCGGCTCGCCCAGCCAACCGCCGACCCCCATCCCGCTGGGCCGCCCGCTCCCCTTCCTCCTCCCCCAAGTGGAGCGAGGCCACAAAGAGGAGGTTCACCTTTCCGCCACCGGGACACCGGAAACCCATCCTGGAGGGCGAGGAACCTGCTTAAAGCTCTGTCTCGTCCTCCTCTTCCTCCTCCTCCGTCTCAGCCTGAAAGGACCCAGTACCTCAGAAACCCCCCAGAACTGCAGACTAATACAGAGCCCTAAATAGGGGGGGGGGGGGGAATCCATCAAGTAGCACCAGCTGAGAAACCAGAACTTCTTCTGGAACGTACTGTAATCTCATCCCTGAGAGGTGCCTGTAATCCCGAGTTCTCCATCACCCCGCATGTGTTTCGTCTCATCACACACTTATATTTTAGTCACAACCTAAAGTCAGGTAAAAACTGTAGATCAGCTGGAACATTTACATGAATTTAATGTATTTTTTTACACATTTTTCTGCTTTGTTCTTTCTTGTAGGTGGAAATGTGGTTTTATTTGACTTTTTTAGAACATTTTTTTATTGTTTAACCAGCTATTTTATTTATGTTTAGGTTAAAATTAAAGAAGTCCTGCTCCGAAGCGGAGCCTCACGATGTCACTTCTGATGCTAAACTTCATGTCTACGTCCAACACGAATGTGTGTTGATGATAAATGGGCGCCACCACCCTGAGGAACCTTATGCACATCTGAAGGCAGATAAAGAGTGAAATATTTGCATGCCTTTTAAACACTAGCACTTTAGTGCATGTACATATAAGCTGTAGTCATTCGTGGTCACTGAAGGGAACTCGTCTCAGAGGAGCTGCCGTTTTGTTCTCACATGATTTGCATCAACTAAAATATCCGTTTTAGGTAAATTGTTGTACCTACTGGGCCGTCTTTGTTACTGTTGGATCATTTTGGACAAGAAAACCAGATTGTGGAAACAAAAATATGAATGTTTTAAATGGAATGTCTATGTCAAAATGTCTAATAACCTGTAGTCTTAAATATTAAATGGTAATAAAGATGAATGTGTATTTACAAGATGTCTTCTGTTTTTATAGATCCACGATGAGATGACCCTGAGCCGTGTGTGTGTGTCCGTGTCCGTGTGCGTGTGCGTGTGTGTGTGTGTGTGTGTGTGTGTGTGTGTGTGTGCGTGTGTGCGTGCGTGTGCGTGTGCGTGTGTGTGTGTGTGTGTGTGTGTGTGTGTGTGTGTGTGTGTGTGCGTGTGTGTGTGTGTGTGTGTGTGTGTGTGTGTGTGTGTGTGTGTGTGTGTGTGTGTGTGTGTGTGTGTGTGTGTGTGCGTGTGTGCGTGTGTGCGTGCGTGCGTGCGTGCGTGCGTGTGTGTGCCTATGCAGATTACTGCCCAGCCTCAGGATTACAGCAGGTTGGGGGGCGGTGCAGATACAATAAGAAGATTTCACAGTCATACATGTGCCACCATACTCATGTCACGCAAGATAAAAGCTGCTGAAATCCTGCAGGAAGTATTTGTTTAAAGGTCTTGGCCATTATTTTATAGAAATGTATCCCAGCTGAGAAAAATCTGAGAAATCCACACAAACGAGCTGGAAATGCATGGAAAAACCCCTCTCCTGTCATCTGTAATCATTTATCTCATTAAATTAAAACTTATGATTTAAGCAGCTGGGGAAAGCTTGACTAATGCAATGCAAAAAGTCTAAAACAATTATTTAATCTATTTTATTATGTAATTGTGTAACTGTGATGAATAAATAAACATTATTCTTGTCATCTGTAGATCCTCCACCAGATGGCAGAAGACATGGATATGGGAGGTTTCTGGTGAAGGTGCTAATCCTGATACATGCTTGAAAGACCAGGTTCGCTTTTTATTTTTTTTATTTATTTTTTTTTTTTACAGATTTGCTGTAATCTATAGTATGAAGCAATCTCTGGCGAAAGCTCTGGCACTTCTGGTGGTGGTCGGAGGGACCGGTGGCACCTGTGCTCGGCAGCCTCGCCTCTGTCAGTGCGCCCCAGGGCAGCTGTGGCTACATCGTAGCTCATCCCCACCAGTGTATGAATGTGTGTGTGAATGGATGAATGATACACTGTAGTGTAAAGCGCTTTGGAGTGCTTACTTTGAGAGGCACTATACAAGTGCGGGTCATTTATCATTTATCATTCTGTTTTAGGAAGTGTAAGCTGACCAGAGTTAAAGTATCTGTCTGGAGTTTTCCCTTTCAGAAATGACGTATGATTTTTCAGAAATCTGTAAAAGTCATTGTCTCATCATGTACTGTGATATAATGTAAGCTATAGGGAGCCTAAGTCACGCCCATCTACATCCGGACCACGGGTCCCCGGAAGAACGAAAAAATGAATGCGAGTGAACGGGGCTAAAAATGCTATTTTCTAATTCCACATGTTATGTGCCATGGATTTCACATACGTATGATGTCCGTGAGCTTTAAATACGCATTTTGATGCCAAGAATTTTTCATTCTTTCTGGGACCCATGAGCCGACCAGAAAGGGAAGAGACTTAGGCTCCCTATACGTTTTTTTTTGTCAAGCACGCCCCCTGCACCGCAGAGCTCTGTGCAATAGGAAACTGAGCGCCAACCAGAAGTAACCAATAGCGTTAGACTACCATTTACGTGCTTCAAATTTAAGGAATACCTCAGCTGATGAAGAGTTGATGAACTTTTCACGGACAATTGAGTCTCTAAAATATAAATATATGAAAACACAACTTGACATGAGAATAATACTTGTAAAACGTGTTATAGCTCTGTTTGTCGGCTACAGGAACACATTAATAAACAAAAGTGAAGTTGCCTTCTTAAAAAAGTTGAAGAAATTATTTGTGTGAAATGCTTGTTAGCCACTAGATGGTGCCAACGTATTCCTGATATTCTGACGATTCACCTCTGATTGGCTAACAGCAATGTGACTCTACCACGGACTCGGTTTGCTCTGCAACGCTAATGTTTAATCTCCACAAATAACACAACCCTGAAGGAGTTCTGCTGTGTGGTGAAGGTGCTAATGGTTAGGCTCTATTAGCCGAAATGATGCGGTTTCCTGGACGCCGAATAAACAGCAGCCTTCCCCATCGCGAGCTGAGGTGGGTGAGTCCATTGATGCTAATTTACAGTGTGACATAGATCTGATTGGCCTTTCTAAGCTGAGCATTTACTGTCTATTTTCTGTCTGCGGCTAATGCAGGAAATAGGGGTAAAAGACTATTTTTACATTTATCCTGCATGATAAACTCAGAGTGATTGATTATATTTGAAAAATTTAAAAGTAAAAACAATTTCTCAGTTAACTTGGCTTTTAAGGTCCAATGTGGCTTGATGATCTATGACAATAATTTGCAAGAGGTTAAGTCGCTTTCATTTAAAAAAAAAAGAGCCACTCGTCATCTGCAAAGAATCTAGTTAAATGAATAAAATTGTCACTATTTAAAAAGGGAGACTAGGCAGTTTTGGCTTGCTTTTAGCACCCTCTCGTGTCTGTTTGCGTTCATCTTTTTAACACCTTAATGTAACAGCTGAAATGTCTCCACTGGAGCGATTCATCACTAAATAAAAACACTCAGCAGTGTTCATAATCTAAAACATGCAGGAAATGTGCTGGAAGCAGACTGCAGTGCCAGGTATGTCAGCAGAATTTTTTCGTCCAACAGAGTGGCCCACCAGTGTAACGGAATGAAACGAATGTGTCTTTTCCCTCCTCTGCTCAAGACTAGTCTCCATGAGATATGGTCTCAAGGTCTCATGCATTCCTTCTAACCTGCTTATTTTCAGCTCAATAGAAGAATGAAGAATGAACTCTTTTCTTTTAATTAATCCAAGAACTCTATTTTAATAAAGCTAATCCATCAAAGTGTTAGTCAGTGAATAAGATGTGACCGATCTGTGAAAACAAAATATTAATTACTTCATTATGATCCAATAGAATATAATAAGAAATATGACTTTAAATGTTCCAACAGGACTCATTTCACGTAGCGTTAAAAGACATAGCATATTCCTTTCACTGATCCAATCAGAAACTTACAGATCTGACAGAGGCGTGGTTTTGATGGTGTTTGGTAATTTTTCATTCAACAATAAACCACAACATCCGAAGTATAAAACTACGTCATCTCTAACGCCAGTTCAAAGCGTTCCAGAGAAAGTGATGGAGTGGCCAATCCTGATCTCTGCTCTTCAACCGAAATAACCAACGACAAGCTGAAAAATTTGTTGCTATTCCAACTGCGGCAACAGTTCCTTTCAGAATAAAAGCGGAACCATCAAGACCCAGGCTTGGGTCTCACCAGACGCCAACAAAATTGCTGTGACCTGGAAGTAACTCACAAGCTGGACTAGTCGGCACCGCTGCTTTTCCTACCGGCTCGGTTCCAGAGAAGGTCAAGCTAGACCTCGACATTCCTGATCTAAAGGGGACTTCCACGAAGGGTAGGTAGACCGACATAATGGTGTCTCATATGTTTATGGACCTCCTAACCAAAGCTTAATGCGAAGACATCACCTTCAGTTCCCATCAGAACAAATCACTTCCTCGGATTTGCTGGTTCTGATTAACATCACACGTCATCCATTCACCGTCTCATCCACATTAGTTACACTATACATTTAGTGCTTAAAATCAGTCTAGTTTAATTTGTTAGTAATAAAATTCTTAACTTTTAAACTTGACTCTCTCTCTTCTGTTGTCTCTGAGTGAATACGAAGCGGTTATCTAATCCCTGCAATAAAAAGTTCCAATCTTCAGGTTTAAATAACTCACAGATCCGTTAGGTGGATTTCATATTTCCTATGGAATCCCACACCTTATGGCTTATTAAATAACTAGTTCATTACACCAGTGTGAAGTTGCAAGTGGAATATTCTAGCCACCGGGGTCGATAGGGGCTGGGTGGCCTTTCATTAACCCTGTAAAAGCATTCAATTCCGGGCCTCAAGGCCCAGAATTGGTTGGATCAGGGCACCGCACCATACCAGTCAGTCCTCTGACTGGTATGGTGTCACTGGGGTTGGGGAAAAGTTGGGGTGCAGGGTAGGATTACGACTATGTCAGTCTGGCATACGTGGCCTGTCAGACTGGCATGCGCTGTAATATGTGTATGCCAATCTGACAAGGTATGGCGTTTCAACAGAACAGTCCTGGAATTGAATATCCCTGCTGTAAAGGGTGGTTTTAGCACATACTCAAGAAAATTGATTAAAAATATGAAAATGTTGCGAAGAGTCACTTTCACTTCTACAACACGGAGCAAACACTTTATTTTACTTTATCTGTTTGGTTAACATTATTCCACAGCTTTAATGGAAATGAAGGGACTAAAATGCTTTCTACCTGCCTGATAACGGCTTCGAGAAACGTTGAATTTGAGATATTTAACATAGATAAACATACAAGCTTATCATTTAACACCTTAAAAATTAATTACTGGTTATCTAAAGAAACAAATGTGCCTTCATTTTGTTCAGGTACAAAACGATAAATAAAGCAGTTCTCTTAAGTTATTGTTTCCTTTGTTGGTCACAGATCCAAATCATTTTAGTACCTGGACTCATATAATCTGAAGGTTAGGGTGCAGACTCTTAAAATCTGCAGGATTTCAATAAAATATTGTTTTTAGGTCTACTAACATATCCAAACGACCATTTATTTTTATAAAAATAAACTCAACTGAACCAAGATTTTGAAACCATACTAAATGTTTACATTTGAATATCTGGTTTAAAAGTCTGAATAGCAGAATAGTTGATTAAAACCTGAGCGTTTTGTTTTAAAGGAGGGCGTGGTGAAGCAGCTAAAGCTACCAGTTCTAATGATGCATCATTAATGAGGCCCAGGTGCATGCTGGGAGCTGCTGATGGATCTGAGTGGGTCAGGGGAGAAGAAGATGCTCTGCTTTTACTTCTATCTACACCCGAGAGGAACCCACCATTGCTGAATAATTGACAAGAACGTAAAGTCCCTTTACACACACACACACACACACACACACGCACGCACGCACGCACGCACACACACACACACACACACACACACACACACACACACACACACACAGCTATCTGAAAAATGGATTGAATTAATGCTTTACTGTCAGACATTTACAGGAACGTTGAATTTTTTCTATAAAATCTAAAGCTTCCTGAACAGCCTCTGTTCAGAGAAACAGCTTTTACAAACTACCGTGACACTGAGCTAACAACTATCTGAGCATGTTCTAAGTCTGCTTCAGTCTCCTGAGGTCTGGAACACTGAAAAAACATTTTTAAATTATTATTTCTGATAACAATCAGTCACTCTGAGTTTTTCATGCAGGCTGAACAAAAAAATAGTATCCTACACCTATCCCCTGCATTAGCTTCTGATAGAAAATAGACGGTGAAACTCTAGGATTAGACAGATGTACGTCACACTACTTAACAATCATGGTCTCACCCATTTTGACTCACAATGGGGAAGGCTGGTGTTGGTTTGGCATCCAGGAAACAACAGAGAACGTCTCGACTAGCAGAAGCTAACCGTTAGCATTAATAACCCCACCACACAGCAGAACTCCTTCAGAATTGTGTTATTTGTAGCGATAAAACATCAACATTGCAGAGTAAACAGAAGAAGAATAAGAAGAAGAAGAAAGAAAATATCATTTCTATAGCGCCTCTCATGTTAAAAATCACGAGGCGCTTCAGAGTCAGTGGTAGAGTTGTGTTGCTGTTAGCCAATCAGAGACGAGACTTCCAAATATCAGGAAATGAGACTCTAAATCCTGCCATGTTCTGCTGCAGTAGACTTGTCGGTGCTGATCCAAGTGTTTCTGGGAATTATTTTGCCTCGAATACAACTTGCAAGGCATTAATTCCTACCAGAGACTACTGCAAATGTATTGAATAAACAAGTGAACCATACCTTTAAAGAACTTTTCTGGCAAATAATTCGAAATGATGCTGCAGAAGCCCTAAAAGGAATATATTTTTAATTTTTTTTTTTTTTTTTTTTTTTTTTTTTTGCATTTGTGATGACAAAACCTTTTAAAATTTCTTTAATAAGAATAATAAACAAAATCATAGTTTTAAGCTCAGGAATTCCAGTTAGACATTTTAATGCTTTTTCTTTGTTCAAATATTGATCCTTTTTCTTTTCACTTTAAAACCTTAATAAAATACGACAGTCTGTTTTGTTTCGCCTATAAATTTTTTTATCATCTCATCATGAGTCATAAACTCAGGTTTTTGGTCACAAACGAGAAGGAGTTTAATTGATTTTTAAAATATTTGTATCTTTTTTGGTCTTTCAGTGCTTCCATAGATAGTAAACATGTAATAAACATAGGTGAAATAAAGTTCTAGTATAATTCAAAAGGTTCTGATTGATATCTCTTCAGACTGATTGCATTCAAGTCCTCCTGCTCACCTGATCTAGATTTCCTCATCGGCCTCTGGAGCCTCTGTGTGAAATGAGCTGCATGGATTTATTCTGATTAATTTAACTGATTCTGGTTTGATTAGTTTCACGTTTTCCTGTGAGGCCGAGCAGATTTCCAGGAACTGATTCCCGCAAACTTCCTGTGTTCAGAGCTGTTAATGTCCTGAATGACTGTGGGCAGCGATGCGCTTCAGAGAGGTCAGTTTACAGCTTTTCTGAGATCATCAGGTTGGGTGTAAGATGCAGATTTACGCGTGACAGTTTAGTGTGAATATGTGAAAATTCACTGTTTTAAAACCAAAACACGCCTGGATCTTTTATTTTATGCAGCACATTTTTCTAACTTCCAAATTACAGTGAAGATTGTTTTGGGTTAAATGTGCTAAAGTAAAACAATTAACAGGTTTAATATTTGTAATAGTATTTTGTTATGGTCACCAATCCTAATCAAAAATATTGACTATTAAACCTTTTTAAACTTTTAAAGTGACATATGTTTAGAAAATAAATGATAAATTTGCATGAACTCTTCAGTCTTGGGTTAAAAAGGGAGCAGCACAAAGGTGTCCGGATTCACTGTTGGCTGGTTGCCATGCCAACCACACAAAAATCCCATCGCTTAGATGAGAGGAGGCTGCTCCTCTCTCTGTTGCTCCGTCATTGTCTCTGCTTTGTGTGTGTGTGTGTGTGTGTGTGTGTGTGTGTGTGTGTGTGTGTGTGTGTGTGTGTGTGTGTGTGTGTGTGTGTGTGTGTGTGTGTGTGTGTGTGTGTGTGTGTGTGTGTGTGTGTGTGTGTGTGTGTGTGTGTGTTAGAATAAATCTGTTAGCGGCGACCTCATAGTCGTCCACTCCGACTGGAAAAGAACCAACAGGCCTTCTGTCTTTTCAGTTTGAGGAGCTAAAACAAATCGAACAACAGGAAGTTTTTCATTCTGTGTTCGATTTGGGCGTGCTCGGAGATTTTCGTGGCACAAACTCAGAAGCTTTCACATCTTTGATTCTCTCACAGTGGGTAACAAAATCAGAGATAAAACTCAAAGATTAAAAAAAGAAAATGACAAAAAAATGAAAACGTTTGCTCATTCTAATGGAGTTGCACGAAGATGAACTGTATAAATCTTCAAAACTTTTAAAGTAAAAAACAGTCATTTATTATTTGGATATTTTTTAAATAAATATATACTTTTAAAACACTTCACAGTGAATTTTCTTTTTATATTTTAACAACTCAGAGGAATGAAGAAGTGAGGATGATGAGATTGTGCTGATGAAAAGGTTGTCATGGTTACCCCACCTCCTCCTCCTCCAGCTGCCAGGGGTGATGATGTAACACCACTACAGCTCTATTTGCCCGTCCTTGTCCTTCCCATCTCTGTGTTCCTGCGTCTCTCCACGGATAATGTGACAAATGGGGAAAATAAAAAAAGATGTTTGCAGATTTTTCCTAACTGAACAGCTTTCAAACAACCTGCTGCAGTCTTACAAAAACTAATTTGTGCTTCTTTTTGTTAGATTTCAAAATATTCTATTAATTTCAGATTTTTCTCCCTCAAACACACATTTAGGGCTGAACATGTGATTATTTTTTTTACATTTTTGTCAGCTAAAGAGCAGAAGTTCCCAGCAGCAGATTGATGAAAGGGCTTTTCAGTGATGCTCTTACAGGGAATGATTTCTGCCACTAGAGGGCGACATTTGGCTGCAGGAATTTGAAGTGGAGGAACAAAGTGATTCAACTGTTTTATTCTCAGGTCTGAAATGTTTTACAGAGTGAAAATACAACACAGACTCACTGTGCAAAGCTGACTTTTTCTCTTTCAAGCTTAAAAATATTTATCTTACATACAATTATACATTTTTAACTGATCTGTGACACTTTTGGCCCAAATTCAAAAATAATCTACAGAAACAGCTGTGCTGAAGATTTCTAAAAGTTTCTGATCCCCATAAAAATAAGCATTCAGAGGCTCACTGCGAAGCAGCAGATCGACTTCGTCAGTAGCGTTGCATAGTTAGAGGATCGGAGATGAAGGTGGTCAGGCTGCAGCTTCACTCCTCTGGTTGAACAACACCTCCACCACCTTGGGGTCAGCCAGGGTGGAGAGGTCACCCAGATCCTTCTCGTTGCGAGCAATCTGCCTCAGGATCCGTCTCATAATTTTCCCTGAGAACGAAGAAAAGGAGACAGTTTTCTTTTTAGTAGAATAGGATTTTCATCATTACTCGAGGATGGAGCTGCAGGTGTTTTTACCTGAGCGAGTCTTTGGCAGTGCCGGGGCATTCTGGATGAAATCCGGTGTGGCGATTGGCCCAATTTTCTCTCTCACTGAGAAAATAAACACCGCAGACTGATCTGAGTTCTTTCCTTTTTACCAAACCGTGTCCTCTGACCTAAACCAAGCGAGGCTTTCTTCTGTGCTTGCTGTGTTGCATTTTGAGATCTTTTAGTTTACTCACCGAGTCTCTTCAGGTCCTCCACCAGTTTGCAGTTGAACTCCTTGCTGTCTTTGAGTGTGACAAAGCAGTAGAGACACTCTCCCTTCACCTTGTGAGGTCGGCTCACCACGGCGGCTTCCGACACAGACTGGTGCAGCATCAGGGCCGCCTCCACCTCCGCTGTGCTCATAAGGTGTCCTGGAGGACAAAAGGGCACAAAGCTGATGGGAGAAATGTCTTTTGATGCAAGCTCAAAAAATAAGTTGCAGTGACTGTGAGGCTGGAGATAGAAATGCCTCACAGCTCAATACCTGACACATTCAACATGTCATCTATCCTCCCTGTGATCCAGTAATATCCATCTTTATCTCGCCTGCATCCTAAGAGAGGAGAACAAGCTCAAAAACCTCCAAAACACTTTGGTTAATTATTACATTTTTATTCTCATTAAGCTGTTGTCTTCCTAGGAGACTTTAAAGGTGTGGTTTACTCGTTTATTCAATACATCTGCTGTGTTCTCTAGTGGAAATCAATGCTTATGAGTAATTAAAAAGAAAGCTATGGTATTCCTGTCCTGAGAAGGTTGCTGGTGCAGAAGTGAGCTGTAAACAGCAGGATTGCTCATTATTATTACTGATATGCACACACCTCGTTTCTGATTGGCTGACTGAACACGCTCAGCCATGTTGCGGAGTCACTATCACCAACACACTCTCCCCTTTCTCTCCTCACTGCAAGCATTTTTTAAAAAAAACCTTTCTGTGGGTGGGCATGAGCCAAGATGGGCGAGGCCATGAATGCAAATTCACAGTGTGACATCACAGTGTCAGTATTTTCAAATCCCAGCATTTCACAGTCTATTTTCTATCAGAAGCTAACGCAGGAGATAGGTGTAGGAGACTGTTTTCATATTCAAGCAAGTTCAAGCAAGTTCAAGTTTCATGAAAAACTCAGAGTGACCCATTATAATCAGAATTAATAATTAAAAATTGTTTTTCAGTGATCCACACCTTTAAACTGGACATAATATGACTTTGTTTTAAATAATAATGGTTCATAACAAACATGTTCATGAAGTTCTTTCCCCAGAATGAGCCATTTCAGGGCTCTGTCAATTTGAGAAAAGAAGATGGAGCAAGCCACGCCCACCCTACACCCACTCAAGCTGCTGTAAGCTGAGAAGCTGGGAGGGGCTGGGAGCAGAGCCACTGCTCCTCCAGCAACAGCTCTCTCTTGAACGTGAGGGCTGTTTCTATTCTACTTTTTGAAATGGCTTGTCTCAGGCACATCATTCCTAAAACCAACCACTGACAGAAAGCGGATGGACGGTTTTTAGTATTTATTATTAATGTTTTTTATTAATTTCTGGTGGCAGTAAAGACCCCCCACGGCAGCAAAATTCAACACAAAGTGTCCGTTTTACATAATGTCTCACCATCGCCGGTCACATAAAAGCCTGGGAACTTCCTGAAGTAGGTGTTCTCAAAAAGCTCTTGGTTTTTATAAATGGTGCGCATTATTCCCGGCCAGGGCTTCCTGAAAACCTGCAAATAAACGAAATAAATACAATCACAGACAGAAAAGGAGATGTCTTAATGCAATATAAAATTAACATAAGCCCAATAATAGGTTTATATTTTACTGCTTTTAAGGTCTAAAAAGGTAAAAATCCACCCATGAATGTCTGAGAGATCAATGCATTTTGTTCACACATCCTTTCAGACGAATCTGTGTTTCTTATGCTTCTTTATAGATTTCTAATTTACCAGATAACCCTCCGTCACGCCCTCCAGTTCCTCTCCATGCTCGTTCAGGATGGCCGGCTCCACTCCAAAGAAGGGAAAAGTCTGAAATATGAAATCAGGATTTGATGTGAGATGCTCCACTTTCAGTCCATTTAAAGCAAGTGGTCACATCAGATCACTTGTGCATGCTTTCAGTATTGATTTGCAGCCCAAACAAGAATCTTGTTTAAAAAGGTAAATAGCTAAAAAAAAAAAATTTTTTTAAGTTTTAAAAAGCAGGGAAAAAAAACCTGCAAAATTACAAACTTTATTTAATAAAAGAAATAAGATTTTTTTTTTATTTTCAAATATTTCAGCGATTTTTTTCCCCCCACGTGTCCTGTCTGGCTGTGAAGCAAACAGAATTAATGTCTGAATGCTGGTGATAAGCCTTTCAGATTTACTCTCAGGTGGAGCATCAAAGCATCTGCTTTTAATGTCACGCCGGACACTTAAAACTTTATTGTTATTGTTTTTTGAATGCTTTGTAATTTCGACCGGACACGGAGACAGAGGTGAAAGAGAAAGGAAGAGACAAAAGGGGGGTTCTACAAAAATAAACAATCAATGATGAACAAGTCTGCTTCTAGACCTGCAGAAAAGGGACACACAACAATACAACAGGAGCAAGTTATCACATCAACTTGATGAAGAAATATAAAATCAATATTGTTCAGTAAAACAATCACACGATAATAAATCACAGTGCATTAAGTGCCAACCACAGCCTTAAGGCATGTGTTGAACGTGCCCAAGTCCATACTTATGAGAGCACCATGTGAGCACCTGTGTGCGTACACGCGCTTGTATATGTAAGGTTTCTCTATAGGAGCGTCCAAAGAGTGTGTGAGGGGCCACAGATCTGTCCCCCAAAGATGCGTAGGAGATGGAAGGATCTTCAAGTCTCAGAGATCCAGGAGCTGCCCCAGAGCACAGGGACCTAAAGGAGACCGCAACCAGAAAAGCCCCTGCCCCCCTCGAGAGGTGCCAAGGATTGCCTCAGGGGACGACAACCAGCAGCCGGCAGAGTCCCGGGAGATATCAGCGGCAAGCCCACAGGCCCGCCCGCAGCCTCCCACCCCCCAGCCGGCCAAGCCCGGGACCCAGCGACCCGGAACCCAGCGACCCGGGACCCAGGGGCGACCACCCCCACCGGGGACCCAGCAGAGCCCAGGGACCCAGATCCCATTAGGCAGCCACCGGGATTGATCAGGCAGACGCTAAAAATCTTTAACCCCCTGACCAGGGAGCCACGAACACTCAGGCAGACCAAGGCACCACACTCCACACCAGGTGTGGCAGGGGGAGAGGAGACGAAGATGTATAGCATTAAAAGAAGTCCCAGGAGAAGGGAGGAGTCAAAGGCCCCACCTGACATATACAGTCATACATAGACACAGTCACACACTCCCTCCCTCATGCTCACACATACACATACAACCTAAGACTCACAAAAATGCACGCCAGACACCCACTCATGCTCCCCATACACACCCTATTCACTCTGGTCCCGGTACTGCTTAACAAAGGGTACAACCATCACCGGTTCCCAGAGTTCGACCCTTTCTGCTGGGGTGCTGATGAGCAGGCTCCCCCGCCCAATGCCGAGCAAAGCGACCCACCACCCAGACCCCAGCCAGACGGCCAGATCCCCCTCCTAGCCTCCAGCCCCAGGAAGCCAAGCGACAACAGAGGTGTGCTAAGACCCCTAGTCACTCTCTGCCTGCTCCAATACAGTGATGGTGCATGCTGATGAGGTGTATTCCGTGGCTGTGGTGAGCGGGCAGTGCGGGCATCATCTGGTCTACGCCAGCTGATGCCACCACACTACCCCAATTGCACCCACAGCCCTCAGTGTCAAAGTGCAGTTTAAAATTGGAAGTGGGCACCGGCACTCGGGGTGAGGCTGAAAGATCCCCCTGCCGAATGCTGTTGAATGTGCTCACTCCCAAGGCCCTAAGTGTGTGTTTGCGTGGAATGTCATTGGTGGAAGTGTTTAAGGTGCAAATAAAATTGGGGGGCAGGTTGCCACAGGAATACGGAAATGGGGTCCATACCCGCACCCCCTGACTTGTCCACCCTCCAAGGTCCTATGTGCATGTTTGTGTGATGATGTGAGGGAGCAGGAGGAGAAAAATGTGTGGGGATGGGGAGGAATGGCTGGTTGGACTTAAGCCCTCCAGGGAGCCAGCTCCCCCACTGGCCCCAATAGGCACCTCCATTGCCAAAATGCCACCCAGGGCATGGACACCCCAGCCCATCTTGCCAGGGCCCAAAGCAGCAGCATCACAGAGCCTCACGGAGTCCGAGGGCACCAACCCAGCCCCACGCCAGCAGAATATCTACTCCCATCCCTGCACTTCCAGAATATATAAGACAAAGGACATCCAGGTAAGGTTGAGTCATCCCCCTCCTGGACATTCCCCTCCCCTGTGATGGAACAGCAGAGGAGCCAAGGTCTACCCGAGGCCCCTGAGCCCGGGCCAGGCACTGCCGCATGTTCCTGCCTTCTTCCCGGTAGCATACATGTCAGGACCCGACCCCCCAGGCCCCCACCCAGACCCACTCAGGGGCAATGCAGCTGCCAGGCAGCGACCCATGGCCACCGCCAAGGCCCCCAAGGGGCCCCACTCACAACCGCCAGTAGTGCACCCCCCGAGGCAACCCAAGCACCTCCAGAGAGGGGCAGCAGCCCCCCAGTCCCAGACGCTCGCAGTGAACCCACCTCCAGGGAAAGTCCTGATACTCCAAGCTCAGACCCTCCACCCCATCACCCACATCATCCCGCAGGACAATATCAATGATCCCCCATCGTCGCTATGTGATGAAACCGATCAAAGGAGCCCATAGAGATTGATTTGAAGTGGAAGCAGAGGCTACATCAAGTGTAATATGATCGAACAAAAGATTTCTATACTGGTTAAGAGGGTATCTCTATTTTTCCAATTCATGAGGATAGTTGTCTTAGCGATGCATATGGCAGTCAGAACCACGTAAACTAAAGGTGTTTCAATCGGGACAGCAGGAAAAAAAACCTACAAAACTACAAACTTTATTTAATAAAAGAAATAAGATTTTTATTTCTTTTTCAAATATTTCAGCATTTACAAAACGGAACAGCAACATTATTCTGGACTGTTTTGATAACGATCAGCTAAACAAACCAGACGGGTTTTGGGTAATAATATTTTTAAATGTTTAACTTTTTATTTTACAAAGTTTAAACTTTATTTATTAAAGTTCCAAATTTAAAGAAAGAGCTCATTCTCATTTGTGACACACGGTGGTGGGAGTTTCATGGTTTGCTTGGCTGAGCATGATCTTGTCAGAAGTCACTGAAAACATTTTATCTGCTCAGATTCTGAGACAAAAGATTTCTTCTACTCTGTTTTTTTAATCCTTTTTAACAATTAAAAGGCAGGATTACAAACATTTATGTAGAAGTATAGAAACTTTAGAGGAATTTTCAATCATTACTTGTTTCATTTTGTGATTTTTGTTTACTTGCACTGATTTCTGGAAGCTTTTTATGGATGAAGGAGATATGGTACTTACAGCAGAACCTGGTTTGAGAGGTGTGGCGGCAGGTAGAGGAGTCAACACGTGACCTCCCTACAGCAGAAAACAAAATAAAGATGTTTAGGATGAAAGAAGAACCTTGTTGTGTCTACCACTAGGAGGCAGTATAGGAGATGCGAATGTAAGGAGGAGAGAAGTAGAGGAGTCCATATGGATGCCTGATATTGTTACATGTAACGCAGGTTGAATAAAGCTTGGAAAAGGAATTCTGCCTGCTTGTGCTTACTTCCTGGTACAACAGCTGACCATAACAGAACCCTATGAAGTTTAAAAATAATCAGATTCTGACTAATGTTTTTTATTTACCGTCTCTGTTTGCCAGAACGTGTCGACCACAGGACACCGACCTTGACCGACCACCTCATGGTACCACCGCCATGCCTCCGGATTGATGGGCTCTCCCACGGTACCCAGAATCCTCAGGCTGGACAGGTCGTACCTCAGAAAACAGCAGAAACATCCCCATAAACCATCCTTTCAGAAGGATCTAGCTGTTTTTTTAAGGTTTTATAACTTTTTTTTACAGTAATGTTTTGGTATCTGGCTCCAGGACAGAGTCAGGTTTAAATTTTACCACAAGGAAGAGTTTTTGTTCAAATTTTTGTTCAGAATTTTAAAAATCATTTATGTTGTTGAGATCATCTCAGGAAAATCATGTTGATCTAAATGAAATCCTCAAATACTAAAAGTGTTCTCATGTGCCCTGTAGTGATGATGTGTATTTTTCCTGGCAATAGGGGGCAGGAAATACCTAAATCATTGCAAGCAAGCAGTATTTTGGTGTTTGAGTAAGACCTTATCAACGGATGCCCATTAGGGTAAAAAAATCCCTGAGAGCACAACCTCCAGCTAAATCAGAGCACATCAGACTCCCGTTCATCACTGGCAGCAAGTGAAGACGTAAATGTTTAAAACAATGTTCATGAATGGAGAAAGTTTTGTAACCGCTTGTTACAAATCAGTAAATGCATTTTGTCCTCACGGGCTCCCGTAGAAGGAAACATGGCATTTAATATGGTGTCCAGAGACTTACACCCGCTCCCATGTATTTTAGACTGGATTTTTATAATTTCTCAACAACTGGGCATCGTTTAATTCATTTTCAACAACATATCGATGGATGTTTCCAGAGATTAATGGTAAAAACTACACATTGTCTCTTTAATACTGTCCTTTTTTCCACATGTGAGCTTAAAATGTCCCCCTTTTTGTTAATTAAAGATGATTTAATCTTTAATGGTTTAATAAGTAGGAGAAAATGATTGTGAGCTGATAAAAACCCAAAGATTTGGTTTTGTTTGCAGCTCAACGGAAGCAGAGAGTTAATTTCCCTGCTGAGTTGAATGAGCACTAAAGGTGGAATTTCAGTAAAACCACCTCTCGTGTCTCCTGCAGCTTCAGCGGAAACCTTTTCTTATAACTGATGTTCGGCTCTGACTTACTTCCGAAGTGGTTCCTGTCCGTATTTCATCAGCAGGCGGATAGCTGTGGGAGCCGTGTAGAACTTGGTCACTTTGTACTTTTCAATGATTTCCCAGAACCGGCCGACGTGGGGGTGCACTGGGAGGCCCTCAAACTGGAATCAATCACACACACACGGTCACTTCACATGCTTTAATGTGCACGTGTGTAACGGTGCACATTAGACTCACAAGTACACTCGTGGCGCCATTCGCCAGAGGGCCGTAGGTGATGTAGGAGTGGCCGGTTATCCAGCCGATGTCTGCTGTGCACCAGTACACGTCGTCAGGGTGATGATCGAAAACGTATCTGAAGGTAAGAGAGGTGTAGAGCAGGTATCCAGCGACTGTGTGGACAACACCCTGAGAGGCACACAAGAGTTACTCGTCAGCAGAGGCAGATAACAGGTGTGTGCTCGTGTCTGGTTCTGATCCTCACTTTGGGTTTCCCAGTAGAGCCGCTGGTGTACAGGATGAAGAGAGGATCTTCAGCATCCATCCACTCCGGTTCACACTCATCTGGAGAATCCCTCATCACCTCATCCCACCACACGTCTCGCTCCGACTCCCAGGGGGTCTGGATGCACCCAGAGCAGAAAACCGAGTCACATTATGTCCAAACACACACCCCGGGTGGTGCAGAGTGAGGGGTTTAATTTCATCTACATGTTAAAGGATCTTTATTTACCTGTAGTTTGTTACATGAGGTTCCAGTTCTTGTCCTCTGTGCCTGGTGCTTGATGACCAGACATGTGGTGACACCAGATGATCCTCTGTGAAATCAAAAAAGACCAAAATGTGAGTCAAACAAAATTTAGGACTCAGGTCAAGAGGTTGGGTCTTGAGTCACATGACTTGGGCTCTAGTCAGACTTGATTAACAGCTTTGGTGACTTTAAATTTCCCAAAAGACTCAAGTCTTCTAGTATCAAAAGAAAACGTCATCATCGGGTGCGTCTGTATTTGCTGCTTGTTTTGTTAAACAAAACCAAATTTAGGAAGGAATTCCTGAAAATGATTTACTTTAATTAAAATACTTTTGATTTGGACAGGTGAGTCGTTCAAGAGCTGAAATACTGTTTATAACTCGGATATCATTCAGAGCCTGAGATTCAACTTGAAGCTTGAACAGCATGTCTCAGGACTTGAGCTAACATGGGACATGCTAGTTTTTGGACTTGACTTGACTCTTGACTGTTGTGGGACAGCAGGAGCTCAGAAGGTAGAGCGGGTTGCCCAGTAATCGGAAGGTTGCAGGTTTGATCCTGGCTCTGATAGAGAATTCTGATGTTGTGTTCTTGGGCAAGACACTTAACTAGACCGGTGGCGCCTGTGCTCGGCAGCTTCGCCTCCGTCAATGCGCCACAAGGCGGTTGTGGCTACACTGTTGCTCATCACCATCAGTGTGTGAATGTGTGTGTGTGAATGGATGAATGATAAAGCACTTTGGAGTCCTCTGACTCTGAAAGGCCCTATACAAGTGCGGGTCACTTATCATTCGACTTGTTTTTTGTAGCTTGACTTGAGACTTGCATATCTTGAGTCTTGACTTGAGGCATGACCTTTATACCATGGGGCTTGACTTAATCAGGGGTTTGCATGTCTTTGTACTTGACTCAGGACTTGAATGCCTTGAGACTTGGATGTCCTGGGACTCGACACATGAATCACATTTCGTGGGACTCAACCTGTGATATGCTAGTTTTGGTACTTGACTCACAACTTGCATTTCTTCAGACTTGACTTTTAACCTAAATGTCTTATGTGTCTCAGTCTGGGGTATCCATGTCTTGGGACTTAACTCAACATGAAAAGTGATTTAATACATGAATCTGGGACATGCACGTTTTTGGATGTGATTTGATTGTGACTTGACTTGAGACTTGCATGTCTTGGATTATTGACTTGATACATGATTTGTACATCTTGGGGTCTTGATTCAGTCTGGGACATGCATGTTTTTGGACATGACTTGATATGATCTGTATTCTTGTGATTTGACTTGAGACTTGTCTTGGGTCTTGACTTGATGAATGACTTTATATCTTGAGGACTTATGCATGTATGTCTTTGTACTTGAATCAGGACTTGAATGCCTTGAGACTTGGTTGGGCTGGAACTCAATTTGGCGAAAGAATCACATTTCTCTGGACTTGACTTAACCTGCAACATGCTTGTTTGGGGACTTGACTTGACTTGTGACTTGCATTTCTTCTGAATTGACATAAGACCTTAATGTCATACATGCCTCAGTTTTTGGTAACCATTTTTTTGGACTTGACTTAACATGGAACATGAACTGATACATGACTTGTACATTTTGGGGACTTGACTCAGTCTGGGACGAGCATGTTTTTGGATGTGACATGACATGGGGCATGACTTTCTTGGGACTTACTTGTCAGGGGTCTTGATGTGCCACATCACTTGTATTTCTTAGTACTTGAATCAGTGCTTGCTTGACTTGACTTGTCTTGACTTAACTTGACTTGAGTCATGAGTAGAAAAACTTTCCAAATCATGACTCAGTTCCACCTCTGACTAGATCTTAGATGGGACCCAGATTTGTTTACAATCCGGTTTAAGACACTTTAGAACACTTTCACACATTTCACTCGTATCCCTGGCCAGATGACATCCATACCAGCGAGAGGTTTGACTAAAATCAAAACAAATTCACTGATAAAATAATTATTACATATCAGAACTAACATCACATCTGTGTTCCAGACACATCATGTCCCTCTGAAGATAACCCTACACAGCACGCTCTGCCTTTTCCCTCGCATCCCTCTCAGGCTCCCGTTGCCGTGGGAAACGGGCAGTTTGGGCTTCCCTGATGAATCTAAGTGCTCCATGTTGCCCGGCAACCTCGCAATCTGAAAGCCCAGCGGTGTGTTTCTTCAGTCTCTCAGATAACAGTTGACTGTGCTGTGTGTGTGTGTGTGTGTGTGTGTGTGTGTGTGTGTGTGTGTGTGTGTGTGTGTGTGTGTGTGTGTGTGTGTGTGTGTGTGTGTGTGTGTGTGTGTGTGTGTGTGTGTGTGTGTGTGTGTGTGTGTGTGTGTGTGTGTGTGTGTGTGTGTGTGTGTGGTGACTCATATTCCATGGACTAAGCCCCATTACCAGCAGCAGCCTGTGTAAATACGAGTGATTACCGGGAACTTACTTTTCCCTGCACTTCTCCAGCGCTTCATCTGAAATCTGCTTCAGGTTGATCAGCTTCTCGCCTCTGTAAACACCATCTGTGTGTCAGATTGGTACCAACAGTCAGACGATGGAGAGGTACATGACGAGAGACAGAAAGCAGAACAGACGAGTTTCATTTTACAGCTTCTGGTGCAGCAACATGTGACATCCAGGCAAATCGCATATGTTTGATGCTGCAGCAACTTACCTGCTGTTACCAGAACGCTGCTTTGGGCGTCCATGATTCTCTCACACAGCGACTCAGAGGAGAAACCTGCAAACTGACCACACAACAAGTCGAACATAACAAACATAACATCACACTATTTAATGAATGTAAACATCTTGGCTTAAAATTCTATTTCTTTGATTGATAAAAACTGATTTTACCTATAAATGAAGGATTTTTAAGAGATAGAAGTGAGGAAATGAAATGGATTTGCAATTCAGTTCCATTCTGTTTATTTACATAGCGCTGAAAGTCGTCTCAATCAGGACACTTCACAACGTAAACATTCCAAGACATTTATTTCATTAAGCCAATCAGTAAAAAGTTTCTTATTTAAGGAACCCAGCAGGTTGCATCGAGTCACTAACTAGTGTCAGAGTCTTTACAGCAATCCTCGTACTAAGCAAGCACGCAGCGACAGTGGCTCAAACTATTCATTCACCAGCTGAGAACTGAAATCTTGTTTTTACAAACGTTAATGACAGATAAAGACATGCTGTGCAACTTTTTCATATTTTAAAATCATTTTCTTGAGCCAGTATGTGCTAAAATGACCCTTAACAGGGTTAATTAAATATAACAGACCCCCACCGCCCTTGTTGGCCAAAATACCGCACTTGCAACTTCAGAGGGCCAGGCTATTCCCTGTTAGTGGAGCTGAAATGCCCAGTGCTGGAGTCTGCTTCCAGCACGTTTCCTGTATATTTTAGATCATGAACACAGCTGATTTGTTGGATGTAGTGATAAATCGCTCTTGTAGACACTATGAAGATGTTAATAATTTGTTATAAAGACGAACGCACAGCGAGGAGATATTTCACTTTTGCTTTGACTGACGCACACAAGGGGGTGCTAAAAGCAAGCTGCAAAGTATCCCTTTAAAAAACATAAAATATTATTTAAGTTACGTAAATCAGGACTTTAATCTCTTCAATGGATCAGGAAATAAGATGCTTTATCTAATTAAAGGCCAAACGTTCCTTGGAGGAATTCTCATCCTCTACCAACTTTTGTGCACGAGTTTTAACCTTTTCTGTTAAATGACGGACTAACAGTTGTTTCAGTGATTTTTGAAAATTTCACGTGCAATCTCATGCACGATCATAAGAGTTGGTAATTGGCGTACGAAGGACTTTTGGCCATTTACACTTGTCATTTTAGGTCAAACGGGTTGCGTTACACCAGTTTTTGGGTTGGCTCCAACAGCTGATGCCAACTTTTAGGCAGAGATTTTTCTGTGGAATACCGCCAGCTGCTACGACACCAAATCTGTGATCAACGTTGGTAAAACTGACTTGTGTTTTTGTGTTTTCCAAGGTCTCTGTTGTGAGCATGAAGATTTCCTGACAGTTTCATCAGGGTTGGTCCTGCAGCGTTCATGAGAAATCTCACTAAAAGAACATATTTTACATTTTAGATCAAATGTACTTTTAAAAACTCAAAAAGATATGCTGAGTCCTCTTCCAAACACTGAGGTCAATAGTTTATGGAGGGTAAAGTTTCAGAGTTAAAGGCAGCAGCTCACTGAGACGTCTGCTGAGTGTCACAGCGTTAGTCTTGCTGTCTTTAATTATTTATTAAATATAAATTCAATGCCTGGATAATTACTGATTCAACGGAATAATAACATGAATCCAGTGAGATGGCAAATCCTGACTGTGTTAATGTCTAAAGTAAAAAAAAAACACAAGAGTGACTCAGCACAGTACAGCCTGCCAAAAACAGCCCGTTGTTGGTCACAGAGTCCAGCGTTGAGATATTTTTAACACAGCCGTTAACCTTTGCTGTGGATGACGAAGGTTAAATCTAAAACAGAGTCCCAGGCTGGAAACAGACGGTAAAGGTCTGACCCATTCAGCGAGCACAGGTGCTGTCAGCTCTGACTTCACACCAAACAGCTGATAGCTGCTGCAGCAGAAGCATCGTCCCAGACACGGCTGCAGTTGACTCGTGGAAATGAGGTCAGAGCAGCGAGTGCAAGAAGCTGCATGCTGTCCTAGCTTGTGTGGAAATGCAGCAGACATGATCTAGAACCTGACCCATCTTTGTAAGATCTCACTCTGTTAGCTCTCTAAGTATTTGTTCTGAATGTCCCTCACCTGCTGTCACGCCAAGTTGTATCTTAATATCTGTAAAAGTGAGAGTTGGAGTCATTTTTGTGGCGGCCATGTTGAATCTGTAAAGATTTCCTGAGAGTTTAATTAAAATCTATGTCATAATTTATTAGAACACACACACACACACAAAACCTTATCCTGCCCTTTGTCTCGTGGCATTGGGTGATTAAAAGTGACTTTTCTCACCACGATGGAGTGAACGGCACCTATCCTAGCACAGGCCAGCATGGTGACGATGAGCTCTGGGATCATGGGCAGGTAGATGGACACCCTGTCTCCCCGCTTTACACCTTTAGCAGAAGGAAACACACATTTTCCTTCCATTTTTAAAGGATTCCTTTTTAAAATGAGATGTCTTTGTTTTCTCCTAATTTCCTGCTGAATAAATCTTATTTCCGGTGTTTAGATATTTTGCTGCTGAGGTGGATTTCTCACCCATTTGCTTGAGGACATTAGCACAACGGCACACGTGGCTCAGCAGCTGGCGATAGGTGATTGTCATGTGATGATCGGGTGAGTTTCCCTCCCTGAGAGGATGTGCAAGAAGAGAAATGTGAATCAGTTAGGTCTCCAAAAACCCAGGTTTACTCTCTCTCTACCCTTTCAGGTGTGACGTTGAAGTTCTATGAAATACAGGCAATGTTAGAGTACCTAATGTGGAAAAACGGCAGATGATTAGAACAGCATGACCCTGGGAAGGTCATGAATGGTCCTGCAGCAGAAGAACAACGTCAGAATATGAGAGCCTGTTCTGCAAGTTCTCTGGACATAACCCGTTCCAGTTGTTGCTGATTCTATTTTTGATTTGGACTCTGATCAGGACCGTTACTTGTAAAAGCTGTGTCACTGCTACTGGCACACCAGCTGGCAGACTGGGGACCAGAGCCAGAACACGAAGAGAGCTCGTCTACCTTCTGATTGTGAACTAAACCATTAAACTCTGCAAACACAGATTTGATTATTTTTTTAATTAAAAGTTTTTAGCCTTTCAAGATAAAAATCAAAGGCATTATGAACATTTTTAAAAAGATTAAAAGATAAGAAACATTTTAAAAGATAAAATCTTTTAGTGTCTTTTAGACATTTTGTTTGTTTGATTAAGGAATTACAGCGTAGACTGTCATTTCTCTTGTTTTATTTAACTCTTTCATTTCCTGTTCAAGAAAAAAATTATGCTTTTTTATTTGCATTTTTTAATCATGTGAAGCAACAATTAATATAAGATACCACAAGATGATGATGTTTAATAACAGCATATTTTTTTAGATTTGTTTGCATACTTAAACAGGATATAAGGACTAAAATCTGCGATCTTGCTATTTAAATGGTTAAAACAAAATAATTCTCCATTTTCTCACCTCTCCCAGAAAATTTTCTTAAGCTGTCTTTTTTTGTATTTTAGACCTTGGTTACCTGCAAATTAAAGACTTGTGAGAATTTTTTATAACAAGACAACACTGATGTAAATGGTAGGCTACATATCAGAACAATGCTGATCAAAATGCTTAAACTAAAAACAAAACATCAAATTTTCCTTTCCGCTTCTTAATGTTAAATTGAGAGGTGAAAAGTTCCAGGTTACTGCTGAAACTTGGTCATGTGCACATGAGAGAATCACCTACAAGCTGTCTACCCACCTGCCCAGCATGTCGGATGCTTAGGTCACACGATTCAAGATGTGAGTGGCTGTGGAACAGCCCAAAGAAAAGACATGACACTGCAAATGCTGCAAATTTTTGTTGAGGACACAGAGTAAAAGCATAACTTTAAAATGTCAATTCCAGTTGCACATTGCAAAGTTTTTCTGAATTTCCATTTTTTCTGCAATGCAAACATCTGAACTCAGTTGCTTGGTGGAGCAACAAATTGAATCAAACAAACTTTTCTTTGTTTTGTTTCCAAAATCTTAACATTTGACACTTCTGCAAACTTTTTCTCAGACCCAAAATCATGATAGGGTTATGACAACAAATCAGATCACCTGCAGATCCAAAGTTCCTCCTCCTTTTTGCAGAAACTGTGTGCAACACCAGCATGTGCATTTTGGTTTAGTGTAAACAGATATGGAATGCTTGAATAGTCTCCAACCTATCCATGCTCCATTGAACCCCCATAATGCTGAACTGGGAGAAAAACTTCATGTTTGCAAAATATCTGCAGATTACTGGGCAAATATGAGCCTTCCTTTGTTACAACAGGAACAAAAAGCTTGTTTAGAATGAGGACTGTTGATGTCAAATCTGGCAACAAGGTAGAAAATGATATGCAATAGGAAGACTGATGCCCTGATATTGTGCTGCTAATGGGTGGGATTTGCCTGGCGCGGTAAGGTTGGCACCGAGAATGGAGCAGTCAGAATATCTAACATAACTCAAGTCAGTTCATCCCCATCAAAGCCATTCTTCACTCTGAGGCCTGTTTGTGCTCACCAGTAATATGCAACCTTTTCGCCAAGCTTCCCTTCCTTCACATGTCTGTCCAGGACATTGTAGCACATGTTGGTTTTGGCTCCTTCCATGCAGTTCACAAAAATGTTGCCCTTTGTCATGTCAAAGTTGTGCTGAAGCATCGGCCCTGTTGCTGGCTTCTTCCAAAAGAACTCATCAGCAACCTCCCTCCAGAAAGCTAAAACAAAGAGACACTGTTTCTCTGATTGGACAGTTCTAGATGGACTTTGAGAAAATGATCGCTTTATGACGTACCTTCTGGGTTCTCCAACGACTTCTTGTACATTACCAGATAAGAGTTAAAATCAGGCACATGAGCATTCCTCTGAAGTTCGACTGGAGGGTAGTACATTTTTTCCTGGGATTCGGGAACGACCATAATGAATAGAAAGATGCAAAGAATTGTACGTCATCGGAGGAAAAACTGATTAATTTGGAGACTGCTGCCACTCTATCCTTCTGGGTAAGGTAGAAGCAAGGCCCTCCTGCACTGAAGCAACACATTTTCAGCATGTGTAAAGACCCACCCCTAATCCCAGATCTGCAGACATGTCTGCTTAGTATCAGGGCACCCAATCAGCTCACAGGACCGAGTACTCCCACTTTTTTATTGGTCAGAGTCTGCTGGCATGCTGATCACAATATGATTTCAAGCATGTGGGTGGATGAAGAGGAGGTGGTGTGCAGGATTCAGGCAGAGGTTTGTTTACAAAGGGAGGCTGATGGATGCTCAAAAAAGAGAAACATTACATAAAAGAAACAGCTGTTTAAAGTATTTGAGTTCATAGTATTTTTGTGCTGAGAGATTTCACTTTAAACAATTTATTCACACATTTATTTTAGAGGCTGAACTGCTCATGAATAAGTTCTTTATTCATAAAATCCCATAACACTTATGCTGTTATTTTATAACATTTTAATATTACATAATGTTTAACTGTTTCTACACATGCCATTGTTTGATATTTGTTTACATAAAATGACAAAATAAATCAAATCAGATCATTGGCAATAAAAATGACGTTAAAGCCTTCAAATTCCGTTTCAAAAGTTCAAAATCAAAGTTAAAAAGGGACATGGGTTGAATGGAACAATAAATATATGAAAATATTGATTTAAACAGTTTCTCATGGCCAAAAAGAGTTAGAATTTAAAAAAAATCAAAACAAAAAATGCATATATTATCTGAAGATAACATCAGCTACATCCAGCTTGAAGAATCAATAAGGAAACATTATTTGACAGTCTGGACACTTTCAAAAAACAGCTGAAGACCCTTTTATTTAAAGCTGCTTTTACCTAAATCCTATTTTTCTTTTCTTTTTTCCTTATTTTGTTAACTCGAAATTTACAATTATCTTTCATTTGCTTTTTGGTTTTTTTGTATTTTATGACTTTATCTTTCTGATTTTAATTAGTATTTCTGTTTCAAGATCATTATGATTTTATGACTTTATGATTTATTTTGTTTTGATCTATGTGAAGCACTTTGTGATTTTCTAACTGAGATGAGTGCTATATAAATAAAATGTACTATTTATTTACTTGATGGACCGCTTATTTAGCGTAATGTTGTAATATTCAGCGGAAATAGATCGTTTGTTCTTCACATTTAACTCTGTGATCGATTAGTTTCCCACACATACGTATGCGTAGCGTCTAGTCAGACCTTACTAATCGAAATAGTGTTGATGTCTGTCTCCGCTTTCACGTCCCTCTGCTAACACACCGGGACCAAATTTTCTTCGAAAGCATGTTTTTATCTGCTGCTGTTCGCTCTGCTGTGTCGCAGACGGTATGTTGACAATGTTTTACATGTTTCTGCACTTAAATGTAAATGTTTTTTTCAATAAGTCAAAGAAATAGTTAAATGACTTCACAAGGACATGTAGCCGAGGCCGCTAGCTTTGCGCCGTTTGGTAACGGTAAAGCTAACCAGTTAGCCTCAAACAAGGTAGCATAAACTGTTAAGGAAAAAAAAAAGGCCAAGTTTAATCACTTGTTGTATAATTTGGCTAGCAGTTTGTCTTTTGGGGGTCTCAGGTAAATATAAGGCTAGTTTTGTTCCGTTAAATCTCGTTACAGTAAGGGAAAGTAAAAGTATTTAAAGTACATTTTATCATTACTAAGTTCAGGATCATGTATAATGTAAATGTCGTCTAATAATTTAAAACATCTAACTTAAAGCCAAGTTGGTGAGAGCATTCATATTCAACACCTGATTTGTTGATCTTTTGTAATATTTAGAACTCAAAACAAACGATAAAAAAATCATTTTTCCAATTTATGCATCCTGCATATCATTTAGGTGGACATCGTTCAGGCAAGCAGCTAAATCATTCATGTAATGTTTATGGTTTATTTAACACCAGATTGAGAACACTTGATCTATTCTCTGTGTTGTAACTCCCTTCTTTGTATATAACTACTGAGATGTTGTGATTGTATTTTTTGCTGCCTCTTGGCCAGGACTCTCTTGAAAATTAGGGTTTTAATCTCAGTGGGACCTTCTTGGTTAAATAAAGAATAAATAAATAAATAAATATGGGGTTAGGTGTCAATGCAAGTTCAAATATATTTTTTATGTAGTTGGATTGCTTTTTGTTTTAAATTTTACATAGAGTTCTCACATATTCTGACAAAGGGCTTCCATGGTGTGTGTGTAATGTTTTCCACATATTAAAGTAGTTTAATAAATATAAAGATTATAATCAATTGCATCATGTATGTTACCTGTATTCCTCTGGGTTGCAGGCCAGGCAGGTCAGGGGTCTGCATCAGTCTGCTACACGCTCAGCTGGAGGCCTCTTTGTGGTGAGTTTCAGGTTTATTTTACTATTCAGGCATTTTTATATTAACTTGTTCTTTAAACATTTGCATCCTCTCAAAAGCATTTAGTTGTATCAGATGTGAGAAGGTTTGTGAGATCAAATCAGCAAAAGATGCTATATAAAGGAGTGCTTTCAAAGCTGTCATGTTTAGTTTATTATGCTGTGAATACATTTATATACATTTTCCCAAGTCATTTGATAAGTTTAAGGAGGAATTCTGCATTACCAAAGTAGATAATAGTTGGGAGTTGAATTTTTTATAACCTATGAGTGTTATCTATAGTATTATTGCCTTTTTGCTACATAGTTTTAAAGGTTCTTATTGAAATTAGATTTGCCTAAAAATCACATTGATTTAATCACAATTTCAACTAAGTTTTAAAATTCCTCCCACTATATAATTTAAAAAAAAATTAAGTCAGCACCAGGTTTTCCTGAGCAAATCTCAAAGGTCCTTGTTTTCCAAAAGTTCCTTGTATACCTGGGTGAAATCTTCAGAGTAATAAAAACATCACACAACCTGCAATGGAAACTGTTATGGTCTCACAATGTTCTTGTTAGGAGAAATGTTTTGATCAGAGTTGTATTAGAACACTTGCAGTCAGTGTTGTTTTGTACGTTATAAATTAAAAGATAATTGTATTAATTTTTAATCGCAGAAAGATATTTGATGCTCACGAGAGGGCAGAGTGTACAGAAACAGACATAATTGTTTCTGTGTCGAGACCTTTTGGTGATTTGTAACACTTGTTTCCCCTCAGGGCTTCCGTGATGGGTTTCCAATACCGATACCATTAACTGAACATTTACCTTAATTTGTTTGTTTTTAACCCGTTAGTGTTAATAGGATCCTAACAGAAGTGTTTTTTTTTTCTGTTTCAGCACAGAGATACTCCCGACAACAACCCAGACACACCATTTGAGTTCACGGAGGAGAACAAAAAGGTGAGACGGACCTCTGTGTTGAACAGCTCTTCTGTCATGTGCACTGATGTATTTAAAAATTTTTTTTGGGTATATCTTTAGAGAGAATTTTTTTTAAGAAACGTATTAATATTAATTATAATATATCATTAAATATTATAATTTTTTGTAGACCCTGAAGTTTCTGCAGGGTATTTTTATTACTGTCATGTTATAAAAGTTCTTCTCTATTATTGAAATATTTTAGCACAAAATATGCAGTAAAGAAAATCAGTAATTGTTTTTAAAATTGGCTTTGATGAAAAAAAAAGAAACTATTCCTCTTTTTACACTTTCCCTTTAGAGAGTCCAGGCAATCTTGTCCCAGTACCCTGAAGGACACAAGCAAGCAGCCACCATCCCCGTTTTGGATTTGGCTCAGAGACAACACGGATGGCTCCCTATCTCAGCCATGAACAAGGTAAACTCTCAGACCTTCTCTAGACAGGCTCGGTGCTTTTAGAATCAGAAGGGGTTTATTGCCATATGTGCGAGAATTACAACATTAGGAAATTGTTGCGATACTTGGTGCAAGACAAAATAAATGATGAGCAAAAATCAGAAATAAACATGATGAAATTATAATAATATAGGGAAGCAACAATCGGCTACTACAGGTGCTGGCCAGTAAATTAGAATATCATCAAAAGGTTGAAAATATTTCAGTAATTCCATTCAAAACGTGAAACTTGTACATTATATTCATGCAATGCACACAGACCAATGTATTTCCGATGTTTATTACGTTTAATTTTGATATTTATAGGTGACAACCAATGAAAACATCAAATCTGGTATCTCAGAAAATTAGAATATTCTAAAGGCCAATGAAAAAATGTTTGTTTCTCTAATGTTGGCCAACTGAAAAGAATGAACATGAAAAGAATGTGCATGTATAGCACTCAATACTTAGTCGGGGCTCCTTTTGCCTCAATAACTGCAGTAATGCGGCGTGGCATGGACTCGATCAGTCTGTGGCACTGCTCAGGTGTTATGAGAGCCCAGGTTGCTCTGATAGTCGTCTTCAGCTCCTCTGCATTGTTGGGTCTAGCGTATTGCATCCTCCGCTTCACAATACCCCATAGATTTTCTATGGGGTTAAGGTCAGGCGAGTTTGCTGGCCAATCAAGGACAGGGATACCATGGTCCTTGAACCAGGTGCTGGTGGTTTTGGCACTGTGTGCAGGTGCCAAGTCCTGTTGAAAGGTGAAGTCTGCATCCCCATAAAGTTGGTCAGCAGCAGGAAGCATGAAGTGCTCTAAAACTTCCTGGTAGACGGCTGCATTGACCCTGGACCTCAGGAAACAGAGTGGGCCAACACCGGCAGATGACATGGCACCCCACACCATCACTGACGGTGGAAACTTTACACTGGACCTCATGCAACGTGGATTCTGTGCTTCTCCGCTCTTCCTCCAGACTCTGGGTCCTTGATTTCCAAAGGAAATGCAGAACTTGCTTTCATCAGAAAACATAACTTTGGACCACTCAGCATCAGTCCAGTCCTTTTTGTCCTTGGCCCAGGCGAGACGCTTCTTGCGCTGTTTCATGTTCAAGAGTGGCTTGACACACGGAATGCGACACCTGAATCCCATGTCTTTCATGAGTCTCCTCGTGGTGGTTCTTGAAGCGCTGACTCCAGCTGCAGTCCACTCTTTGTGGATCTCCCCCACATTTTTGAATGGGTTTGTCGTCACAATTCTCTGCAGGGTGCGGTTATCCCTAGAGCTTGTACACTTTTTTCTACCACATTTTTTCCGTCCCTTCGCCTGTCTGTTAATGTGCTTGGACACAGAGCTCTGCGAACAGCCAGCTTCTTTAGCAATCACCTTTTGTGTCTTGCCCTCCTTGTGCAAGGTGTCAATGATTGTCTTTTGGACAGCTGTTAAGTCAGAAGTCTTCCCCATGATTGTGGTGCCTTCAAAACAAGACTGAGGGACCTTTTAAAGGCCTTTGCAGGTGTTTTGAGTAAATCAGCTGATTAGAGTGGCAGCAGGTGTCTTCTATATTCAGCCTTTTCAGAATATTCTAATTTTTTGAGATACCAAATTTGGAGTTTTCATTAGTTGTCACTTATGAATATCAAATTTAAATGTAATGAACATTGGAAATACATTGGTCTGTGTGCATTGCATGAATATAATGTACAAGTTTCACGTTTTGAATGGAATTACTGAAATATTTTCAACCTTTTGATGATATTCTAATTTACTGGCCAGCACCTGTATATACAAGTAAGCGTTGGTACTGGTCAGAGCGGATCCGTTTAGGCACAAACTAGAGGCCGACTGATATATCTACTAGCCGTTATATTCAATTTCTTCTATATCGTCCGAAATTCTTTTTAAAAGCCGATTTAAAAATAATAAAAAAAAAAATCTGGCACCCGTGTGGCCAACTGCCGCCACTACTAGACTGAAGAAAGGACTCGAAGGACCCCAACAGTTTTTTGTTTTGTTTTATATTTGAAGTTCAATGAATGAAGAGATTTATTTACATACCTAGTTTATATTGCACACAGTGAGTTTTTAGTTGTCTTTCACAATCAATGAGCTGCTAAAACGTGTGTGTGTGTGTGTGTGTGTGTGTGTGTGTGTGTGTGTACATACACACACCTGCCTTAATAATTGGCTTTAGACATCGGCCATATGCAACAAAATTCTTAAAAAATCTGTATCAGCATCGGCCTTAAAAAAATAAACGTTATCTGTCTGCCTCTAGTGCAAACTAGGGCTGAACGATTCTTGAAAGTAATCTAATTGCGATTTTTTTCTTCAATATTGCAATTGCGATTTCATTCATGAATATTTATGACACGTCTCACCTTTATGTTAATATTGTTTTATTTTATGCACTCCACTTTGAACTGCACCAGTCCAGCAACTGCTGCATTTTAATAACTAGTATTAAAGGTGAATACACCAATATTTGCACAAGAATAATTTGTTTTAAACTCTCAGTGACACACTTTGCAGGGGGGATTTGGCATTAAATTTTTTCTTGGCGTCTGGAAAAACATCTCCTTTTGCCCCCCTTTATTTGACTTTCTGCGCCCTTTATTTTGGTCCAAGCTCATTACTGGGCTGGCTCTATTAAACACGTTCTACACCCCTGCTTGGTAGACTTAATGAAGTATTTTTAAGCCAGTATAAAAATGACTGAAACACAAATTTGCATTATTGGCATTATTGACCAATATCTTTGATTTAATTTATTTGTTAAGAACATCAAGATGCATTACAGTGAACAGTAAATTTTTCTAGTGCAGAGAGGAGACAACCCATAGAAGCACTGATTTGATCTGATTTCAGAGAAAACTAGAACAGGTCAGATGCACCTAATAAATAAAATTACTAACAAACTCGGGGATCTGTTTCTTCGCTTCATTGTTGTGGTGCTGAAAATATCACTAATGCTGATCAAAGGAGAAACGCAAATGAATGCACCTCTTATTTATTATTTGGAAATTAGTGGGTGTGGTTTGTATCAATACATTATTTTAAATCTGAAATAGATATGGATTGATCAGAAGTTGCTATGTGTATTGTTTATTTGAAAACTATTTACAGAGCAGCCTCAGAATTGAGATTAAATAGTTTTGATCACAATAGTAAAGGAAGTTTTTCAATAAAATCAGAACATTAATATTTAAGTGCATGAATTAATACATCTGAATTCATGCAGTAGGAACTAGGAAATATGAAATACTAGAACCAGACACAACTTTTTATTTATTTTTTAATTGTAATTTGATTAAACTGATTTTTTCCTAACGTTGTTGGCATTTTTCCAACACACGGTTAAACAAAACAATGTTGATTAAGGTGTGTGTGTGTGAGAGAGAGAGAGAAAATAACTGAAAATACCCGACCGGCGCGGAGGCAGTGACCGACGCAACACGAGCCGTTTTCAGCTCTGCCTTGTCAAATGCACCACGTACGTTATGAAAAAAGTGAGTAACAGTGAAGCAAACAGACAGACCTGTTCCTGTTTGTGTGTTTGCGTGGATGCATGGGCCGGACTGAGCTCCCGGCCGCAGAGTTTTGTGTGTAGGGAGGGGCGGGCGCTCTATGTGACTGGCCAATCACAGAGCGTGAAGATAGTCCGTTACCCAATGAGGATTTTCCTTCAGCACGATTACAGATATTTACGAGTTTTACTCGTTTCATGCTCGTATTCGTCAAAAATGCTTTATTCATACCGGATACTCGTCTGAAACGAGTTGAGTATCCGGCTCATCCCTAGCTGTAACCACCCTGCCCTGCCTCCTTCTCCTTGCTGCCTGCCGGCTGTGATCACAAGCAACAACAGAGTGGTTCCTGCGGCTTCTTTGGGAAACAGCGCTTAAAAAAAAAAATCTATAAAACTTGGGATCTTGTAGGCGTGGCGCTGGGATTTCAGCCATGGCAGGCCGCCACGGCTAGGCCTATGTAAGGGAAACACTAGTCTGTATTTATTTGAATGATGGCAGTTTTTACTTTTTTTAGACTCCAAATGTAATCATTTGGCACGTTCCTAATTCGTAATTTGTAAGAACGTAATCAGTGATATTAGCATCCCTGTGGGTTTTCCCATGTATATTAGCATTGTGCTATCCACTCGCTGCCTTTTGTCTCATCGCAATTTAATTGCATATGCAATTAATCGTTCAGCCCCAGTGCAAACACAACACAGGTGACTGAAACAGAGCAACTAGAGGAGGAAGTTCTACGACTGACATTCATGAGTCCAACTGCAGAGTGGCAGAAACTGTTTTTGTGGTGAGAGGTACTGGTCCAGTAACCTGTTGGCACATGAACAAGTTAGTGATACGCAGACGTTGCTTTAGACTCTTTCCTTTTAAATGCATTTTATTATTTATTAATTGCAAAGGAATGTAAAGCTGCAATAGAAAATATACAGAACAAGCTAGCTTTTAAACGCAAACACGATCACAGAACACTCACCACTCCCGTCGGCTTCATTCCTGGGCCACGTTTGCCGGAGCCAGCATTGCCAGAGGAAATGAGACAGCACCAAACACCAGTCGCCGTTTTCTACCGCAAAGAGGCTTGAAGAAAATGTTTTAAGCTAGCTTGTTCTGTAGATTTGCTATTGCAGCTTTAAATTTCCTGAATTGTAGTTTATCCTTAGAATAACTTGCAGTATCTTTTGACTAAAATGAATGATTGACTTCTAAATTTTGAGTTTATATTTAAACACTTCAGTTGACTGCTGTTTTAACATTAGAGGTGCATGTCTTTATTTTTTTTTGTGGTAGCAAAACTTGTTATGGCAAGAAAAAACACCTATGAGGACTAAAAAGAGTTAGGTGTAGTGGGGTTTTTGTCCTGACAAAGCAATGATGAGGAAGATGGTGATGTCAGCTCTAGTAAAATACCATATTTTCCCTCAAGTTGATTATAAATGCTGTCTAGATAAATCCACACGTATCACACAGACTGCTCTAAAGGCTTAAATATTAATGGATTTTAAGCTCATCCATTTTCTTTCTGTCACTTTCCCAGTAGTGATGGGAATTAGGCTCAGCTCGCCAAAAAGAGCCGGCTCTTTCGGCTTCCAAGTGGCTCCTCAGATTTTCTGTTGCGTAAAGTATATTTGTCACCAAAAATAATGCTAAACTATATGTAGAATGATTTACTAATGTAAAAAAATGCAGTATATCAAATATTTATAATTTCTATGGATTTAATAAAGGAACACTAAGAAATCTCCCCTTTCCGACTGCTGGCGCTCATTTTCTCACCATCTTCATCGCACTCTCCTCTCTCTCGCTCGCCTTTTTCCTCCTCCTCATTCCCTCTCGTCTCCCTCCACACGGATGTGCTCTGCTGTGTGTCTGAGTCTGATCCTCTCTCTTCCCCGCCCCTACTGCTCTGTGTGTGGACAGTCTGGACACACAGTTACACATAGTGACCAATCGCCTGTAGCTTTCACTAAAGCAAGAGGGGAGGGGACGGCTCCCAAAGACGAGCCGGCTCCCGTCGTTCACTTCAAAGAGCCGGCTCTTAGAGCCAGTTCGTTCGCGACCGACACATCACTATTTCCCAGGTTTGTCTGAATGAAGTCACAACAAAGATTGAAGCTGAACTAACCAATGACCAAGAATGATCTTTCTTTATCAGGATAATGAAGATGTTAATATTTCATGTCTGAAAAAGACTTCCTCTTTATCTGCTGTCAAGATGGAAAATTACAGGATAATACATGCTGAAACTCTGCCACCATTATATTTCAGGTTGCTGAGGTATTGGGGGTCGCTCCGATGAGAGTGTATGAAGTAGCTACATTTTATACCATGTTTCTGCGTCAGCCTGTGGGAAAATACTTCATTCAGGTCTGCACAACGACACCCTGCATGCTCTGCAACTCCGACAGCATTCTGGAAGCCATCCAGAACAAACTGGGTGAGGAAGTAATTTTCCATTTTCCTTTAGAGAAACCAATCGAGAGATGAAAATCCAGACAAACTTTTTTTATTGTTTATTTAAAAAAAAGATTGGATACAAATGTGTAGATATATACAGTGGTCAGTGGTATTCAAAGAACAAGCTGCAGGAACATTCATGATAAAACTAACAGAAGACTATGCTTAGTCTTCTTTAATTAGTCTAGTACTAAAGGTTTCACTTTCTGACATAATCCACTTAGTTAATTACTTAATCAGGTTTGTATGAAGGTTTTAACGTTTTTCAGACATTTACTGTATTTGTCTGCAGGTATTAAGGTTGGAGAAACCACTCCAGATAAGATGTTCACTCTAATAGAAGTGGAATGCCTGGGCGCCTGTGTGAATGCTCCGATGGTCCAGATCAATGACAACTATTATGTGAGTATTCTGCTACTCTGTGCAGATGGCCTCCTCAATTAACATCCTAACTACGTTAACAAAATTTGTTTAAAACCTGAAAATGAAAAGGTTGTCTGCAGAAAGTTGTATTCTCAGCCTCATTTTGCTGAGGCCGTGCAAGTACAATAAAGTCAGTGTTTGCAGTACTATAGCACCCTTGAATCAGTTTGGAAATGAATCACTTTTATTAGCTAGAAGCGATATTAAAAGAGTTCCTTTCAGATTTGTGTTAAACATTATGTGAACTTAATTCTGCATTAATTCACTCTGAGAAACTGAGTTACTGCAAGCAAAGCAAAATAGAATGACCCAATTAAAGTAAAAACAACTCAAAAAGGAGGCGCTTCTGTTAAACTGCTGACATACGGTTATTACAGCAAGTTATGGTGCCATTTATTAACAGCAAATGTAGTCAGTGTGTTTAACTTTAAATGAATTAGTAGCCATCTGAAATATGCAGAGTCCTTGGAAACTACAAGTTATCTGTTTATTCACCTATCATATTGGTAAATATGGTGTTTTGAGCTGTAAATGTTAGATTCTGTGAATATTTGATACAACTTTAGTGGAACTTACTTTAACCCCCAAATTCCACTACCTCCGTTCCGCTCCGGCACGAACTCCGCAGCAAAATCGGTCCCGTTGTAGTCAATCAGAGCTATTCCACTACTGCGGCCGTGCTGCGGCAGTGCGCCGCCCTCTGTTCCGGCGTCCGGCAAAAATAGAATCGATCCCATTTTTGCCGGACGCCGGAACACCTCCGCAGTCAATGGACAGGAATCACAACCGCCCAACAGGAAAGGGAGCAAGCACAGCTTCCGTTATTTCACAATAAATCGATAAACAAAAAGCGTTTTTTGTTTCATATGCACAGGTTTAACAATTTTTAACAACTATCAATGGCGGCTGAACTTTAAATGCACAAAAGTAAGCCATAAATACAGTTTCCACTATCAAAGTAGTCACACTTTGTTGATCCAAACACTGCTGATCTCTCAACACAAATGATGGGCAGATTAAACGGTTCATTTCGATGCTTCTCCCACACAACGGATGTTTGGATCTAACTTCCGCGTTTATTGCTCGGACTGTATCGCAAGATCTCGAAAATCCCGCGCATGCTTGTTTGCGCACCTCAGGTCTCCGCACCGGAGCGGAGCCGTTGTAGAGCGGGTATCAGTAAAAATTGAGTTCGGAAGCGAGCGGCTGTGGAAGGCGGGGGCGGAGCGGAGGTAGTGGAATTTGGGGGTAAACATGGGATGTGGGTTCTTTTTAGTTTGCTGTATACAAAACTGTAAAACTTAAGAAAGCTAATTTGAGCCCAAAACTCTACATACGGTTAGGAAAAAGCTAAATTAATTTCCCTTATCTGCAGTTTTTTGTTCGATATTGAACTTTTAGATTTAGTCGCCTGAGACCTGATTTTAACTTGCTTAAGTGAGTAAAACACCTGATTGCAGATAAAAATGCAAAAAACCTTTAAGCCCCCTTCAGACAGGCCATGAAAAACGGAAATGTTTCGGACTCTGTCCGTAAGACCTTTGTGTCTGAATACAAACATCCGGATAACGTTTTCCGTAATTAAACCGGATGAAGCCCCTAGTAACAGGTCCGGACTTGTTACGGACAAGGTGGCTGCTTCAGACCGGTGAGGTTGAGTTCCGGACAGGGAGGAGGAGGGGACCGGGGGACGCTGTGCGCACCTAGATAGCTCGCTCCTGTAGCATGCAGCGAACCATGGCAGCTCGCCTCCTACGGTACCGTCTCGTAGACGCGCGACAGAGCGCATCACACCGCTTCCGTGATTCCTTTTAACTAGGGCTGCACAATACATCGAAAAATTATCATCATCGCGATAACAGGACGTGCGATAGGCCCATCGCAAAACACGGCAAAAACAAACATTTCCATCCGTGTCATACATCAGCTTTTTGTAAACCAGCAGTTTTTTACGTGGAAGTATTATGACCAAATGTAATCCTTCTGATAAGCGGCCAATCAGATGGTCCCGTTCACGTAATACGCCCACCCCTACATAGACCCTTTTGGAAAGCAACACCCGAACAGAGTTTGCGGCGCTGTTCCCTTATTCGTCATGCTGGCTCAGAACAACGAACGCACTTTGTGCTGTTTCTGGAATCAGCGCTGCTTTCAAACGTGAACGTGACTCCGCTCGGTGTCAATCATTTTTACCGGGCTGACTCTGACATGTGCCGGTGAACCAACCCACCTTCATGTCGCTAGTGTTAGCCCCAGGCTTCGGTTAGCTTCCAGCTAAAAGGCTACAGCACTCTCCTCCCAGTCCCACCCTGCTAAAGAGGGCCTGGAAAAGTTCCCCCACACATCAAAGTGATTTTTCATTTATGAGCTTTTATAACCTTGTTAATCAGGATAGTTGATTTGCTGCTGCACATAAACTGTCTGTCAGAAGCTCTGCTAGCCGGTTATCTAAGAGGAGCTAGTTCAATTTGTTAGCTTGTTATCAGAATCATAGTTGCAGTTTCATCATCTGAGCTGCTTTTTAAGATCTAGGTAAACTTGTTAAATTTGGGGTTAAAAACAAACGTTTTCACATATTTTCCATGTAGTTTTTTGCCAGTTCCTCTTCTGAAAGGTAGACAATTGTTTTTCTCTTTCCCTCAAAAAATCTTAATATTCTCCTAGTTTGGTCCAGCACAGATCACTTCCCAATAGCAGCAACAGCTTTATGTCATAACCACATAAGTGGAGAAAATGCTCAGTAGCAATGAGAGAGAATTTGCTGTTGCATTTAAGTGATGTTAACTATTATTTAACATTTAAAGTAATTTTCTGATTTTTTTTAATATTCAAAAAACCCTGGTAAGGGATATTTTTCTGTTTTTGGAGCATCAGAAAAAGTTTTATGGTGGAGGTGATGTTTTAAAGTCACTGAGAAACTGCATGCATGCAGTTTGTTGTTTTGCTGCTAATACAGTAGCAGGTGCAGCTGCATAATTTTTGCAATAAAAATGTTGTGTTGTAATGGAATTCATATTGTCCACACATATTCCAGAATGTCTATCTGAAAAGGGTTTTTAGACTTAACACTGAACAGGTTCTTACTCCTCTGCCCTACTGGTTAAAAGTGGAATTACAACCATAGTAAACAACCTTGCTGTAGCTAACACTAAAGCCTGATTCATGCTTCTCCGTCAGCTCCGCAAGGGACAGACACGCACGGATTGACGGAAGAGTTTTGCTCTCATACTTCTCCGTCTCCTGGGGAGAGTTGCAAAGCAAATCCCCGGCAGGACAGCAGAGGGCGTAGCGCTGTTCTGTGGTATCCTGTCATGTATCGGTCCAAGATGGTGTGTTTATATTGTGTTTTTTTGTATATAAGAGACTTTTTAACACAGACAAATTTGTCTCTCATTCTCTTCCACCTCTTCATGCGCTTGCCACCTCTAAACCCACGTTTCCTGTCATTTCCGTACACAAATAAAACGCTTGCTGCGCATCTTTTCACTCCTCCAGTCACAGCGGAATTAAACGTTCATATTTTAGAGGTTTTTTCGCGAGATATTCTTCAAGCTTCTCTGTGTCTGCCGCTAGTTATCCTCGGCTCTCTTTATGTTTTTGAGGGCGCAATGGCGGCGGTGTAGACAACAGCGGCGTCCTGACCAATCACAAGCTTGCGTTCTCCGTCTCGACAGATGGATGTTTAAAACAAGTGGGCTCAACTCCGTACGTACTTGCGTGCCTGCCGGGGCCCTACGCAAGGATGGATAATGGCGTTGCGTGTCTCCGCGCTGACGCAGACTGACTCAGTCTTTACAAGCTAACACTAAAATAAACAAAGTAAAAAGATCTACATTGTTGGACAGTGGCAACAAAAATGTGAAGTTCTTGCTTTTCTCCTTAAGATTTTTATAAATGATCGTCAAACTAAAAATGCTAACCACTAGCAGTACAGCAACAGCCGTAATGCAGGTACAAGAGTGCCCCCTAGAACACCTACCCACTCAACAAACCTATCTAGTGAGGTTTTTGGTCAGCAGAGGGCTGCAGAGTGGTGTCAAATATGAAATTGGTCAAGTTTCTAATCCAACAATCATGAGATCAATGTTAAAGCTCTCGCTTAAAGTAATAAAAATTTTGCACCTGCTCAGTGATCGAGCCAACAGTCACAATAATGGTGGAAATGTTCATTGTGGCTAAAGGCTTACAGGATAAATGCCCTGAATGGGCAAACTTTAATGATGGGTTTTGGTTCTGGCATATTAGAAATGTAATAATTCCTATCTCTGGCTGGAAATACATGATGTTGCATTTTCTGGTTGAGAAATAAAGAAAAGTAGACTTAATGTTAGAATGTTTAGCTGAAGGTTTTTACTTAAATTACACTGGAAACTTGATGAAAGTTTGGAGTTCCCACTCTCTTGATTCAAGCACAGGCTAATGTTAAAATGGAAGAACACCGAGATTTGTTAACTGAAGATTATCATTTCAGTTTCTATCTTTAGGGAATTTTGGTTTGAGACGTCTAAATTACGGCTCAAAATCAGTTAAGTTTCCCGTTAAAAACCTGCAAACATTCATTACCATGTCTACTATTAGCGTTTGCTGTCAAATGTGTGCTTATTACTCAACTACATATTATACTTGGAACTGCGAAATGTATATGTTTATTAAGAATGCAAATCCAGTGACTTTGAAAACCATTTTTATGATGCGCTATAATCATTATCATTTAAAGCTCTTTTACACCTTTTCTTTTAGTATTTTCTCTATTTTTTTGTATGTGGTCACACAAAGATCTGATAAACAATGTGGGCACTGACACTGTAACAATAAGACGTTGTTTCTTTGTTCTTTCTCTGCGTTTCCTCAGGAGGACCTTACGCCAAAGGATATTGAAGTTATCATTGATGAATTGAAGGCAGGAAGAGTTCCACCACCTGGACCAAGGTACTTGGAATCATTTGTATACTCTATCACGCAACGTTTTTGTTTTCGAGTCATATTAAACTCATTTTAATATATTTGCAGGAATGGCCGTTTCTCTTGTGAGCCTGTTGGCGGATTAACTTCTCTCAAAGGACCTCCCCCAGGACCTGGATTTGGCGTAAGATCGGACCTGTAGACAAATGTGGGACACCTAATCTAAATTTGTTGAAAGGAATTTGTCCCTAAAGCTATAATGTTTAAACTGAAATGACTGTGTAAATAAAATATTCATGTACCTGTTGTGTGGCTGTCATATTGTGACTTACAAGATATTGATTGAAATAGAAATCAAACATCTCAATTTTGGCTTTTAGAAGCAGCTTTTATCGAGTAAATTTCAGTGACATTTTTACTTTTGTTTTAATACAAAGCTAGTCAGACTTGTTTGTAGCCACACATCTTTCTCTGTAAAAGGTAGATTTTTGCAACTAGTCACAATGTTCAAGGGGATAAATGAAAATGACTGCAATAGTCATTTACAACATAAAAGTCTCTGCATCTTCTACAAGTATGTCACATGAAAACAACCCATTTATAAAATAGAAAATTTAACAAAATTAAGAAATTCAAGTGGGGTGGAGCATAAATATTGCCTGTTTTTACAGAAAAAGTGCTTATGTCTGTGAATGTAGCTGTAGTAAAACAAAAATGTTATCAACTTTATTTGCTAAAGTGTAAACAGTTGTCAGCTGTTAATATATGCTGAATGATGGTTATTTATGTGTTGACAGATTAACACATGACATTTTCTTCATTATCTGCACTGCAGATACACCTTTCAGTGTTTTATGCACCAACCTGAAGAAATAACAGGTCACCTGATTACCTGAACTTTCTTTAGTTTAAATATGTTTATTGGAAAAGAGACCGATGACAAACAGTTCCTATATAATCAATCGATAGTTCTTTCATTTTGGTCCCACTGAGATGTAGGACGTTGTTTCAACTAACCAGAATTTAAAGCTGATCTGTAATTGGCTACTAAAAAAATGACACATTTTTTTATGGATTTTTGTTTATTTAAAAGGTGATTCACGCAAAATATAAAATGAACTACGCGCCCAAAGATGCACAAAATACAGAGCTTCTTTACTGTTAGTGCCATTTCATTTTCAACCTCCGCCCCCTCCGGTGTCTAGCCGGTGCCCTCCCCCACTTCGAATCCGGCTCTGCAACATTATGCACCGTGACGCATGCGCGTAAGGCCCACCCTAATGCAAATGTCACTGCGCAACAGATTCAAAGCTGACTCATACAAAGAATGGCGGGCATTAAAAAAATAATGTTCGTAGTTTATTGTGAACATTGCAAACAAATCACGAAGGCAATGCTCGCAGAGCAACAGAACAAAATGCAGAACCACTATCACTCTTAACCTCAGCCTTGATCTTCCAGAAATTTCTCACTGACCGCAACACAGCAGCGGAAAAGATGACGTCAAGCGGCCATTCGTGTTCTCCCTTTTACCTCTTGTCGGTCCGAATTTACACGTTTAAAACGGGTAGAATGTGATAAACGTGTAACTAGATTACAAAACCCGAGATTACAAAGAAACCAGTTAGCATAAGAAAGTGCGGTTTTACTCACTGCTTCGATAAAAGCGCTTCTAAATCGTTTCACATCCCCATCTACAATCTACCCAGCAGACGGAGACCTTCTAAGCTCTGTGGGGCTCAATCAGTCACGTGACTCTTCCAGACCAATGAAAACGACGCTTGCATGTTTGCTAGGCTTTTCTCTGAGACAGACGAACGACTGGGATGTTTTCAAAACCAGCAATGAACGTCACACAGCCGTAGGCTACGTTTAACGTACAATATTGAGGAAAATAACCGTTAAAGACTCTTAATCTTTTCGCATAGTGGAACGTCAATGAGTCGGTAGGAACACGTGAGCCAATTTAAAGGTGAGTACGACACATTTTTTGTGGTTAAAAATTGTTTCGGGTCATGGTAAAAATCCTAGTTAGCCATCTGGCTGAAACGAGCAGGCTAACGTTAGGCTAACTTGACGTCAACTGAAATTGAATGTTATGTGCGTAGGTTTGGTATAGTTGTGTGCCACGTGCGTTACACACATTGACCAGTTTCTACCCGGTAACAGACATTTCTACCGTGTCTGTTTCTCGGTAAGTGCTTGCATTTAAAGAGAAGGTTCAGGGAGCTGATCGGAAAATGTCGGAGCGGAGCACAGTGCGATGCCCCAGTCAACCAGCGAGGCTGTGACGGGGCTTGGAGCGCTAGGGAGGGGGACCGTTGTATGGGCAGCGAATGAGCTGCAGTGGGCTTTTGTCTCAGGGTTTTACCATTTATAATTATACCCGAACTTGAGCGGTATTATTTATATACACGCAAAAGCATTTGACCCAATATTCACCTGTTAAATGGTACCAGTTTACAATAGAGGTATCCTGTTTTCAGTGGTTTTAAAATTGCAGCCAAAAAATAGCCGTATTCCTTTCAGTGTTTGGTAAGAAAAGGAGAGCGACCTAAACGTTACCGTAAGGTGGGTGGTGGTGTTTGCATCGATCTACCGTTTAAACACTATCAGCGCTGTTTTTATAAAAGTGATATCAAATCTTAAGTGAGATATATTTATGATTTGCTACAATAAATAAAAGAAAATTGCATAGCTCAAGCTATTAGGAGCCTGCGCTTCCAAACCATTGACTGTGACATCTTGGGGGTGTGTTGCCTGATACAAAAGCTGCTTGTTTTTATATGGCTGGCTGTGCAACGACCAGTCTGAAGGCCAGACGACTAAACCTGAAACATAAATTTAAGTATTTTCTTCACAAGCTTGATTACACACAATTTGCCTACATTTATAACTAATTTACTTATCAAATTAATCAGTTATAATTACTAATGACTTTTAATATGCCATACAAGTAGTGCAATACCAGGAAATACTACTTTATTTACAAAATGTTCATTCTCATATTTTAAATAATGTCTCATGAAAATCAGATATTCTCCCTTTTCTAGCTACAAATGTGGTCTTTGGTTTGACTTTAAAATATGTTAAATGTACTCAAAGTCATGCATTGATTGTTACAGAATTCTGATGCCAAAGAATGGGCTAGAGAAAACTTTAAAGCATGCTAAAATGTAAAAAATCATCAATATATTAGATAATATACCATAGACTTTAAATGGTAAATCAACATTAGGTCATCTGTTTAAAAAATTAAATAAAATTACCTGAAGGCAACCAGTCTTCACAAAAGTTTCTAGTCCTTATAAGTTTAATTTTTACAACTGAATACATATTTATTTGAAAATTGACGGTAGCATAACTAGTTTTTATGAAAGTATTTTCTCTACAGAATTTTGCAAACTCTTGTGTTAATAAATCAATTAGTCTACAGAAGGTTATGCATCTTGGATGTTCTACAACAAAACTTAACATCTATTGATTATTACTCTTTTAACCGGGAATGTGTGCATACTCAGAATGCATTTAACAGGAGTTGGTTACAAGAAGCACATCTACAGACCTGTTACAAAATGTCTTTTTTTTATTTCTTTTTTTAAAATATAATTTCTGTTGCAAATGCCGTTTGAGTATTTAACAAGTACATTCAATTCAAATTCAATTCAAAATACTTTATTAATCCCAGAAGGAAATTGATTGCTGTAGCAGCTCAGAATAATAATAATAATTGTCATCAAAGAGATGTTGTATATTACAATGGCTGTTGGCAGGAAGGATCTCCAGTGGCGGTCAGTGTTGCAGCAAAACTGAAGAAGCCTCTGACTGAAGACACTCTTCTGTTGTCAGACAGTCTTGTGAAGAGAATGCTCAGGGTTGTCCAGAATTTTCTTGATTCTCTGGAGAATCCTTCTTTGCATTATCTCCTCCACATAGCATAAAATGACTCAAAAATGTTGAGGTCCTGTTTGTGGAAAACAAACTTTTCACTGATTTTCATGAATGGAGCTTATTATTCTCATATTAGGAAATGGCGCTTCACGTGAGAAGACTGTTCGTGCTGCCAGAGAAGATTATGCCTGTGCTATTTTGCAATAATTGAACCTGGTGGGAATTTTTGGTGTTTTGTTGACTTACCGGCTTTTCTCTAGGATCTTTAACTGTAGGCTGAAACCAGTACCTCAGTCAGTACTCAACTGTCCAATCTGACTAATAGATGACATCACTATTCTGTCTAATGCTATTTATTCTACAGATTATTAAGTCACTTTTATTATTTTTCTCTTTGGCATATATATTGTTTGCCTCTGCAATTCAATAATAAATTGTAGAGGTTTGGCTAACCAAATTATTTAGGCTTTAGAAGACACCGGCTTTGCAAAAGAGGATGCAAAAATGTTATATTTCAATTAGATGAATTTAATTTGGGAACTGACAATTCTACATCAAACTGACCTTGTATTATGGTCAACCTGTTGCCCTGGATTACAGCCATGAAGTCACATTTGTTCATCAGCAGAGGTGGTACATCCATACTCTATAAGTGCCCGTGTGATTTGTAAGTAACTACCATTTTAGTTTTTTATTTCATCACTTGAATTTCTGTGGCATCAAAGAGTGAATTTTTGCACTTTATAGTCCGTATGTACTCTCACGTAGCGTATTAGTCAAAATATAAAACTACTGTTTACTTGGGTTGTTTTTATTCACTAAGATAATATAATTCTGACGTTTGTTTTACCATGGTACTTAATTTCTGCCTTTTTTTAAGGTTAGAGCCAAGATATCAGCTGATGGTTATTTTTCAAAAAATTTAAGGGCACAAAGACCTTTTCCTTTATGGGGAACTGATTAATTCTGACCAGCTTAAAGAGCAAGTCACCCCCTACCAGAGTATTACTCCACTCCCACTTCCTGTTTGAAAAATACAACAAATGCTGTTGTCTAGCAGACCCAGAGGGCGGAGCCACTAGCCAATTCACACACACACACACAGGCTCACAACGACATTGTGACATCATATGGTACCAGCTAACATTCAAGGGTACCTCTTAGCTAATAGTGATGGCAGATTTAAATTCAACTGCAGTGCAGAGTTTTTACCTGACAACGGCACAACACTGACAGTTTTAGGCAGAAAATTTAAATTTTAACTAAAATGTACTAAAGTGCAAAACAATTGACCACACGTGTCTGCAGCACGATTAGACACACATTTATAATTTATCAGAGAAAAAAAGCTGGATTCGGGGGTGACTTGCTTTTTAAGCCAGGTGTGTATTGTGCGATTTTTGGCCCATTTTGAGCCGATTTTCCTCACTTTTGTGTCATATACACAGTAAAAAATCCTGTGTCAATTTAACTCTAAGAGAGTTGAATTTAACTCCGTGTCAGATAACATTTGGTCCCACTCGAAAATAGAGTAAAATTTACTCTTTTATCAGTGTTACATTTTCAGTGTTAATTTTACTCAAATTTGTGTTAAAATTAACACTGCAATGTGTTGAAATAATTAACACTGTGGTTTATGAACACTTTTCAGAGTAAAATATTACACTTTGAAGAGTTAATTTAACTCCAAAATTAGATATAAAAAACAGTCTTTAGTGTCAAATTTAATTTCTCTATAGTGTTGATTTTTATTTCTCCAGTGTTGTTTTAAATATCTAGTTCATGTAGATCTATCAAATAAAAATAATCTCAGACAAAAGGTAACTTTGACAGCATTTATTCACAATGCAAAGATACTTTACATTCTCAAATGTATAAACAGTTGTAATAGTTGCATAAAAAGTTGGACATTGAAAGCTACTGTCCATAATCACATTACTATTTGTAATCAAACATTTTTGAATAATGCAATCACCACAGAAAACAATATGGAACAACAAGGAGAAGTGAGTCATTCACTCCATATGACATTTGTATATCAAAAGGCCTGGGATACAGCAGGTGGTCAGCATGAAACAAAACCAAATCTTGTGTTGTCCTGGCCACTTCATATGCATGGACATGTTCCTGAAAGCTAACTGTGCATAAAGGCACAGTTAGCAGAAACAGTTTCTCATGTATTATCAGAACTGACTCAATCTGATAAAATATCGGCATTTCAAAATCAACTTTGCCACAAATAACCAGATGAGGGCGGTAAATAAAGCCATTGTGTTTTGCCCAGTTGACTTTCATAACTTGAATACCATGTGGCACTTGCATTGACATGGCAATAACAGAGCCTCCTTTTATCATTTTCAAAGACACCATTTTCCCTGGACCAATGTCTAAACGATTAAAAGTAGAAGAAGATTGCCAAATGTATGCCATATGTCTCTGGTGTTTTTTGGCTAGAGTTTTGGTGATATTTTTAAATGATTTAAGCTGTTTTTTGAAAAAATTGTGCTTACCTTCATAGCGCATGCACCAAGTATGAAGTACAGGTCCGATTTTCTGAATACAACGTGGATAATGGATGAGGAAATGGTGCTTTGGTAAAAGTTTCTTATGTGGATACAAATTCTTGAACAGTTTGTGGTGATCCACAATCAAATGTTTCAAATATACACAAAGTCCTTGTGACAACTTAGGAGACAATACAATGTTGACTATTTGAAGTAATAAAAGAAGTAGATCCCAATGTCGATCAGTGGAGGTTATCAAATTTCCAAAAATGAGAGGAACATTCCTTAGCAAGCACCACGACTGAATTGCATTCAGTCCCAAATCATTAGACTCCTCACTTAAATTCACTGCAACTGGCCGATTGTTTCTTTCCATGAATCCATAATCAAAATTCAGTATTCTCAAATTCAGCTCTCTCAGTGTGATATAATGTCCTTTAAAATGCTGAAACAAAAGCTTTAGTTCGTACTGGGCCACCCCTTCTAAAATGTCATGCATCACATCAACTGCAAAGTTCTCAGATGTATGAAAATAAGTCAGTGAATTTAGTGCGCATGAACTCTTTACACCAAAAACATAAGGAAGAGAGGGATAACCAGCCATCTCTTGACAGTGGGCAGTGTGGGTGTCTTTGGTGCGCAATATTATTTTTGGAGAATCTTCAGAAAATTCTGTTTGAAAGTCATCTTTTTCAGCTAAACAAAACCTGCAACAGTACCTTGCACTAAAAGACTCCACCAAACCAAACAGGCTATGCAAGGCTAAATTATCACCAGTAACCTGGACCAAACTGCCACGAACACAACCACCATACAGTGGAATAACAATGCCATCACTTTCCAACACTTTAATGTCTCGAACAACAGGAGCAAGGATTTCATTAAAACCATATCGTTTAAGATCTTGTGCATGAAACAAAGCACAGAGGTGTATGTTGGCCAAGACGGAATTCCATTTTGGAGAAAAATTTCTTAAAGTAAAATATATTGCACCCATTTTGTGAATACTTCGCTTGGAACCAAGAGGATTTGCAACCTCAAAATCGTCATAAAACATTTGTATCTGTACTGTATGTTTTTCAGTTGAAAACAGAGGATGAGTTTTGAAAAAAGAACCATCACTAATATCTCTGAGTGTTGAGTCATTAGTGTCTAAGCTTATCAACATTTCTGCAGCATACTGACTATTGAATACTGATTGCAGTGTAGATAAAATTGGAATGTACATGAATTTATCTTTAACTACTATCTGATCATATGTTCCAGTGCTTTTATTTCGCCTTGTGTCAAATCTGGAGCCAATTACGTATTCAAGTGGTTCTACAATTTCCCTTTTTTCTGATAAAAATTTTGATCGCTTGTATTCTGAATTAAGAATTGAAAAAGGATTATCTAAGTCGTCAAAACAAGCTTCAACTTTTTTGCAAACTTCTGTTTCTCTTTCATCATTAAATACATGTCTAATGACAGTTTCTTTTGCATGCTGCTGAACATCTTTAACTATCTCTTCCATGGAACCAACAACAGAGTTCACAATGCTTTGGCCTAAACCTGCAGCCTGTAGATCGTAAATTACACTTGCACAACTATTTACAAGGTTAGCTGAAGATAAACCTGACTCGGTCTCTAAACATTTAGATACTTGAAAATCAGTGGAATTACTTGTGTTAGGAACACTTTGACAAGATGAAACATTGGGTTCTTCAACTGAATTAAATGAATTGTCAACATGACACTTGTTTAGATGCTTTCTAAAACCAGAAAAACTACCAAAAGAACGTGAGCATCCCATTTGGCCACATTTAAGATAAAGAGTCCTGCCAGTGCAGAGACCATGGATTACTTTAAGGTGCTTAATAAGGCTGTTTGGTGTACCACGGTCCCTTTTGCAAAGAAAACACTTCATTGTTATGGCTCACCCGATTCTAGCGCAGCATTCTTGCTCGCAACTCTGCAACTCTGGGAGTTTGTTTTGTTTCTGCTACATCGATGTTGTAAACGGTTGTTTGGAGAAAAGTGAAAAAGTTGGTCAGGGCATGACTGTATGACGTACCGAATACATAATGAGCTTTAAAGAGTTCATCAAGAGCTCCCACTGAACCAGTTGCCTTGCATGGAAGTGCATGCTTGTCGATCACAATGAAGAAGGTGTGGATCCTGCTTCTTGTAGTTCCCTGAGCAAGAAGGTAGGGCTGGCAGCTTTGGCTAATATGGTCTAGATGCTGTTGTACACTGGTTCCAGCCTAAGACAGAAAAATAATAGTATTTAGTGTCAAGACTGACAATAGATAAGGTAACTTCAAACTGGGCATTAAAGTGAGGTGATGGGAAGTATATTTTAAAAAAGCGCCCAGCATACCTTTAGGAATCTGATGAGGTGATCTGCGGCTTGAGATGCAGACATCTTTCCTGGCCTCTTTCGTCCTTGTGCAGAAGGTGGTAGCAGATGTAGCAGCAGCAAGATTGCAGACATGTCACTGTCCCAGCCTGTAAAAAAAGACATGCATCTGATTAACAAAATGTTACAAATAAATTAAATTGTCATAATTACCTTTATTACACGCATACCATTTTCATCTTCAGCTGCTGACTCAGTGTTGTGCAGCAAGTGTAAGAGTTCTGGAGTGGGTACCAGTCTATGGCTTTCCACGATAACCTTCTCTTTAATAGAGGTGGGCCACTTCACCAAGAATTTGTTGGCAGTTTCCTCACCAAACAGAAGTCTGAAATCTTGTTCTATCTGCATTGCAAAAATAAAGGACAAAATAAATAAATAAAACCACTATTGGTGACACTTCATAATGTCCAGGATATTTCTGTAACAAAAACAATGTTTTACCAGTCCCGGTGTGTCCAAAAACCGTGGAAAGACTGAGAAGACATCTGTTGTCTTGTCATCGTTGACCAGTGAATTGCGATATGCAAATGTGGCTCTCATCTTCTCACGAATAGTGTCCTCATCAGCAGTGTGTTTCAAAACAGCAAGAGCTGCTTCCACATCCTCATTAGACTGCATTTTGTCAGCAGCTAAGTTGGATTGTCCATGGCCTGGCCCACCAACTTCAGAAAAAAATAAATACATGAGCTTGTGCCCACACATTTGACATTTTATTGCCATCATACTATAACTGATTTGTAAACTTACTTTTGGTAGATTTCCTTACTGATGCACCCTTCTCCTCAGCAGCTTTTCTTTGAATGGTCTTCAAGCGCCATGCAAGGTATCCTGACCCACTCTCTGGATCGTAATAGTGTTCCTATATAATAAAACACAAAGATACAGAATATGTTATCAGTATTTATACCATCAATATTTAGCTTAATGTTGTTACGACCATTTTGCTTACATATCCATGTTTTGAAAGGGGGTCTTCCAGATATGGAAACAAGGCAACAATTCCTTGTGCATACATCACTCTGACAGTTCGAGGGGGAGATGTTCTGATAAATAAGCACAATGATGACTGTCACACATTTGATATCAAAATAAATATAGTAAATATGCTATTTTTAGCCTATATAAATTTACCCATGCTTTTCTGTCATCTCAGCAGCTAGAATGTTTATCATCTGTCTTCTGGTGGCATCTGTCAAAGATTTGGTTTTTGCGTACTCCTGCATGATGCGTTCACCACCAGGCTTTGTAGTTAGGATCTGTTTAATCAACTTAAAATGAAATGAAGAATGTAGTCATCAAAAACTGAGGTACACATATGAGTGTTAGATTTAACAGTAATGAATATTACTCACTGCCAGTGCCTCGTAGTTTATGTGACATGGCTTTTTAGGCTGATTTCCTCCATCAGTTGCTGAATCTTCAGCAGGATCACACATGGTGAAGTTCAGAATAATAGTATCATCAGAAGATGCTGAAGATGATGTAGCCAATGGTGATAGAGAAGAACCTACACAAAGTGGAAAAAAAAACAACAACAAAAAAATACAAAGACAAAAGTATATTAAATGTAACTGTGATGCTCCAATCCAAACCTTTAGGTTAAAAATGAACACGACTTTAAATAGTCCTTACCAAGTTCTTCATTACTCATCATGACTCGAAATGTGCCTGGGGACTCCTTCACTATTTCCTCAAAAACCTCAGCATCAATTTGGGTGTCAGACTGGTCATACACCTTCAGATCGAACAGTTTTTCTCCTGGTATGTCAAATTTTAGACACACTAAATAAGAGAAACAAAGGGTAAAGTCTGATGTTATTTACCAACTGCTGACAGGTTAAAAATCAGGTGAATAGGTCAATATAGTTGATTTTAATTAAAGGCAGAGAAAATGATCAACTTCAGCAGTTCACACAATGTCTTATGATAAATTGTATAGATTCACCAAGTAAAATACTGTAATATTGTTTTATACTAACCTTCTTTCAGGAAGGCATCAAGTGTTAGGTCAGACAGTCTTACATACTTCTGCTCCCCACTAAATGAAACACGCAGCAGCATTTTCCTGTTAAAACAAAAGTAAAAAAAAAAAAACATTAATTTCCCCTAATAGTGTATAGTGCTTTAGATGAGATGCTTTATTTTAGAAAAAATAAATATACAAAGATAATTTCTATATCAATAATTAGATAAATGCTCCAGTAATAACAAAAGAAAAACATCAAGTCAGCTGCTGCAGCCTGAAATCTTAATTGTGTCTGATGCTCGTTTGTGATAGTGGTTAAACTGGTCGACTGTTGCCTTAAGTCATCTCATAGCCACACACGACTCAATCCAGGATAGAAGGTTTATTCGGGTTCTGGTACATTTTGTCTTTGTGACTGGACTTAGCTTTGTTAGCCATTCCAGGATGCCTGCATCCTTGTGTGAGCTATGTGTATCACACAAACAACGAGCAAAAATAGAGGTTCAGATATGGGGTTCCCAATTTGTCACATACGGTAAGATTTTTATAGGCGATGTAGGCATCAAAACTTTATAAATGCACTTATTTTATTGATGATGACAGTACTTTAAAAATACGTTTCGGCGTTTAAGAAGTTAAAATTCGACAAATAAATGGCTGTGTCGCAAGCAGGACGATGCGCACTTTACCCCGAGCACAGCCACACATCGACTACTCGGCTCGCTTTGTAGGCGTCTGCTGTAACGTAACTTCTTTCTGTTAATTAGTGTCACAATTTTACAACACACAAACTGTTGCACAAGCACAACGGGCAAAACAAATAGTTATTATACATCATACTTTGGTAATGATCTTCTGTAAGAAAAACTAGCATTATTTAAGCGGACATTGCTACTTGCCGAGGAGGGCCCGACAGACTTCCATCAGGTGGTAAGGCCTGCTAGCTTCTATGCTAGCGGTGCTGCGCTGCTACTCGGAAAACTAACTCGAACGATGCGGTCCAACGGTTCCATGTGCTCTGATAGGAGTATGATAGCTTTATCGCAAGTAAGCTAGCAACAAGGTTAGCTAAGAATGCTAACAATGGTGGGTCATATTATATATTTAATTTGACCTAACACTTATTTAATTGTTTAAACTGGTACAGATCATCGACATATAAATATGGTACAGATAAATGTTGCACGTCACAATATTCAGACACAGATAAGTTCAGTATAATGCTAAATTGCTAATATTTCAAAATTTAAAAGTTACTAGAACTTCACCACAAATACCTGCCTTTATTTGGAGCGACTTCTAATGTTACACATATTTTACCTACAGTTTTTTAACTCCATTAACAACAAAATTAATAAATAAGTCTAACTTATTGTATGGTGACTCGTCTCTGTCCCAGTGACCACATTTGACTAAAGCAGCAGTCTGCAGTGTCCTTACTCCTTAATGACAATAGTTACATTACAAAACCTTAACTTGAACAATAATTTCAAAACCACATTAGTAATTTAGAAATGCTAAAATTGACTTACCTGACTGGCACCATGCACTCCAGAGCAAGTCCAGACTGGTTCAGACAAGCACCAAGCAGCTTTTAATGACTCTTTGGAAATAGGCGGGTAAATGAAATAAACTCTCTGTAGAGTAGAAATTAACTCTGCATGTCTGCAGATTTTAACACCGAATTTTAACTCTACAGTTTGAGTTGATTTACTCTTCAAATAGTTGTAAATACTCTATCTAGGTTAAAATTATTTTACACTGTGATTTTAACACCCAATGTTTTACTGTGTAGTATACAGGATTTACGAGAAGCGATTAACACATCACGACCAGCTCCCAATCAGTAATAGTGTATTCGCACGAATATCAAATATGTTTGATATTTTGCTCATCACTTGTGAGAATGTTGCACTGTTGAATCAGAGAAGCAACTCAAATGTATCAGTGCCGCTCACACGGTGCATGCGTCAACATGGCTGCCCGGGAATTTCCATGTCCACACACATTGTTTCTTTTTCTGTTTAAACTTTTTTCTGTGCACAATGACAAGGATTGCCAAGAAAGTGTATTTGCTGTGTTCTAAAAAAACAGATAATTACACATCTGTTTACTTTATTTTTTTCGTCTTCCATCATTATCTCCCATAAAGCCCTGCGTGTCCTATGGCAAGCCTGATGAGCAACAGGTTAGGGTTGTCACGGTATGAAAATTTAACCTCACGGTTATTGTGACCAAAATTATCACGGTTTTCGGTATTATCGCGTATTTTTTTAACGGTGTTGCATATGTTCAGAAAGCATTGATAGGCCTGTTCTACACAAACTGAAATAGTTCTGAAAAGGTTTAACAGTGTTTATTAAACCTAAAATAACACAAAGCCTTAGCAAAAGTGCAACTTTTCACAAGTAAAGGAACAAATAGCTTATTTTTCTGGAACATGTTACAGTAGTCAGTGCAGGTTTAAATTATACAAATCCAAACATTCGAAACATAAACAATATGTAAACAAATCAAAGAAACACCACTTGTTTTCTCATATACTTGTTTTCTTCATTATCAAAATGAAAATCTAAAACTCCAGTCCACACTTGACTTGAAGTCAACCTTAAAAAAATATGTATTTAAAATAAATAGCCACTTTAAACAAATTACTAAAATAACTACTACACTATGTAATCAAATCCAAATGTTCAAGTATAAATGGCATTGAATAAGTAAACAAATCAATGACAAGGAACTAATTGTATATTTCTCTTCATCATCAACAAATAAGATGCTTCATCCAGCAACAGGGTGTCTGTGACTCAGTTTAAATGCTGGCAGAGGGCGCTGCGGCTGCAGTATGTAGTGCATTCTCCCTCAACCAAAAGTCCTCACGTCATGCATTTAAGCTAAAATGCTAATGTTAACTTACCTTGCACTGGCTGTAGAGACGTGGGTGATGGTCAGGCAGATGTGCCATTAGATTCGAAGTGTTGCTGCCTTTTGCAGACACTTGTTTCCTGCACGTTCTGCAAACAGGATAGCAGTCTTCTATTAACTGTCCCTCAGCATTTTTCAGAAATCCAAAATATGCCCATACTTCCGATTTAGTCTTCTTTGAGGGCTGATGGATGTCCTGGGCGCTGCCGTCTCCTCCTTCGGCCGTTATTTCAGCTTCAAAGTTTTGGTTGCAAACTAAAAAGTGCGTGTGCGCGGGACCTTCAGCAGAAGCGACGGTGGCTGGTAAGGGTCACCGCGCCTAAACCGCGGTCGCGGTAAACCCACCGAGATAATTTAGTTTTTTTAAAAACTGGACGGTTATTTTTATTGTCAACTTTTTTACAGAGGTTTACCGCTATACCGGTTACCGTGACAACCCTAACTTGAACAAATATAAAAATGTTCTCTTTTATTTCAATTTAGGTCACATGCTTCAGTTTTGTTCCGTTGATCCCAAAATCGAAGTCTACATGTTGTCCTTGAGGCTCTTTGCACATTTAGATTCTGGTGTTACTCTCTGGAGGCTGTAGGAGTTCTCTGGTAGAAGAAAAAACAGTCATGGACCAACTCTTAAACATTATCTGAGACATTCATTTAGATTAAATTTAGTGCTTATGCTATACAATTGAGGAAATGTACAAACTTGTCCATAAATCAATCCAGCTATAAGCATAGGTCATTTAGGGCTGTTTATTAGTGAAATTTCTATGTAGGTTTTAGTTAAAGCCAGCTGCCTGGTGTCCTTAACTGCTAGTCCTGCGGGACATACATTTCATCCTCTGTACCAGTCTAAAGATCTCCATGTCCCTCTGCAGCCGATCACATGCAGCTCTGAATCTTGTGACTGCTCCAACTCCACGTAATGGCTGCACGTGTTGTAATAAATATCTCAGTTGAAAAGGTGACGCTTGGGCTTAGCTTACCCAAACAGAGAAAGGCACATTACTGCATGTCAAGAGTCCAGATTGGTGTTTACATATACACACAGAAAGCAGGCAGATATAGTATCCATAATTTGTTGTTCCTAAGCCTTTTAGACTCAGACTGATTAGACAAAGATTGCAAAAAAAAAAAAACATAATAATAATAAAAGCTAAAAAAAGAAAATTTAACTTGTATAGTTTATAACTTTGAGGTTGCACATCATTTATAGGGAAACTATTCCCATAGGAACTGTTTTTATCCCGTTTTGTGTATCACCCCAAACTTGGTTTCATGGGCCAAAGTGGAGTCTCAACCCCAGCCATGGCAGCCACTGAGTTGCCCCCAATTTACATCAGGTGCGTGAGTGATGAGTTACAGCAGAGTTGTGCTCTGTAGCAAATCTAGTCTATGGTTTGGTGTACACCGGACACACCGCATCACTGAGGTTGTGAAACCACATAGCTAACAAAGCGTACCACTCTCGCACTCTGTGTAAATTGGGGGTTAGACTACATATAATGTAATTGCTACCTGATTGGTGAATGTCAAAAGACAATAAATGAGCAACAAATATAATCAAATTTTGCGTGAAACACAGAAACTCTTTAGGTATTAGTAATTTAGACCAGTGGTTCCCAACCTTATTTCATTGAAGATCTCGTCTGTCAAAGACGAGCTTGGTAACCCAATACCAACTCCTACTCGCATACACACATTAAAAGTGAATCATTACGAACATTTATTTACTAAAAACAAATGGCAGCTGTTTGTTTTGTTGCACACTGTTGGGTTTGTTTTTGAGATTTTATAAATGTTTACAAATCTAATTTTGGTAACCTCACAATCTCGGCACAGACCGATTTAGCTAATAAATGCTTTTACTTTATTTTCTTTGTCACACACTGGCCAAAATACATATTCATTTCTATTTAGTACAATAAAATCTTTTTGAATTCCACAATAGTTTTATGCGTAAAGTAAAAAAAAACTGAATTATTGCATTTGCAATGAAATTGCGTCCCTAGCTGTTTTTCTTTATTTATTTTTTGTCCATCCGCTTGATATATTTGCTCTAAATCACTTGAGGAGCTTTTCCACACACCAAACTTTAGAAAACCAAGTCCCCCGTTCTGATGGCAGTAGATTGTTGATGTTTGCAGCACATGGACACTGTCATAACATTACAGATGGAAACTTATGCTTTTGTACTTTTATCACTCCCTTCATCATTTCTGCCTACATGCAGCATTTCAGACTGGACAGGGTCTCTATGCTGTAATTTCAGAGATCGATGTACAGTAACACCCTTTATGTTAATTGGTGAAATGTAACCGATAACCACTTCCTGTAGTAATGGTAGTCATTTTGAATGTCTTCAATCGTGTGGGTGTTTCTAACAACTGAGCATATCAAAGTTAAAAAGATGAAGGTCAAATAATATAACTTGGAATAAATTATGAGGCATGAAGAATATTTCCCCCATTTTTCAACTGATAAAATCTGAATAGTTAATGTATAAAAGCAAAGTCTTTTTATTGAGCTCTTCAGAGAAATTGGGTCACACATTAGTATAATACTTGAACCAGTCATGCAGCCAACATGGCAGTTTGTTTTACATAGAATTTTGTTGTGCTGTACCTTTTTTTTAACTATAGATAACTACACAGAGCAGTTTAGCTCACGGGAATGGTAGAAGAAGAGTAGTTTACAGGATGTGCGATCCTTTAAATAGAATTCTAATTTCTTTGCACTAAGGGTGGCAATATAAACAATATAAGGTAGAAACGATATAAAATTGGGTAATGATAGTTTTTGGCTATATCGCAATACCGCGACAACACATGACGTCACTAAGATGTGCACCCTGCTGACATTGGGACAACAGAAACTTTTGAGAGAATATAATTCCAGCATTTATTTTTTGATCACATTCTTAATATCCGGAGGTGTCTGGATTCACAAAACTGACAATCATTCAAATTCTATTAAAACACAAGAAAGAAGAATGCTTTGCATCAGTTTTACGGACATAGTGAGGGGGTTGTGCAGCTGGGAAATGTGGCCTCTGTATTGACCCTTTGCATGTGACGTCATACCACTCATGTGACCGCCCCTTTTGCCATGATGGACGGCAAAAAGACCATTTACACCCGTAGAAACTAGGGATGCACCGATCAGGTTTTTTGCTGCCAATCACCGATACCGATATCAAAGAATGCTGATCACCGATACCGATCACGTGGATTGGCCAGAAATTTTCTACAACATTATAATGAGTGCTACAAACTACATAATCTGGGAATAAAGGAAATGTAACCTAATCTAAAATGGTCTGTACTAGGGTTGTCACAGTGTGAAAATTTAACCTCACGGTTATTGTGACCAAAATTACCACGGTTTTCGGTATTATCGCGGTATTTTTTTTAAATGTGCTACATTTTCACACAATTAAAAAACCCTGTATGTCAGGAAATATTGTCCTCAGTTTGTGTCTAAATTTTGCCTAAAATGTGTTATTTTGTAATTATGTTGTTTATTTGTTTACATTTTTCCCTTTAGTCTTTAAAATACTAATATTTGCCCATAACTTCTTATTTTATGTCTGTTTGATGTCATCATTTTAAAAATAGTAGATCAGATGATACTCAGTACTCAAGTAGCCTTCTAATCGGATACTTTTTTACCCTTACTTGAGTAATAAACCCTATATCAGGAAAATATTGTCCTCGGTTTGTGTCCTTCCAGTGATCTTTGCAGATTTGGGAAAATGTCATCAGGCAGTAATCATTGTTAAATTCATAATTATTCTCGGAGAGAGACCAACTCTTATCTGTCCCTGGGAGCCCCGTAATGCAAAGCATCATTTCAATATGGCGGTGTCCGCGACACGGTTTACATGCAGGTAGCGGTGCTGCGGCTGCTTTATATAGCGACTCGTTGCATTCTCCCTCAACCCAAATCCTCGGATCACGCATTTTAGCTAAAACGCTAGCGTTAGCTTGCCTTGCGTTGACTGTAGAGTTGTGGGTGATGGTCACACAGCTGTGTCATGAGATTTGAAGCATTGTTGCCTTTCACAGACACTTTTTCTACACGTGCTGCAAACAGGATAGCCGTCTTCTATCAACTGTCCCTCGGCATTCTTCAAATATCCAAAAGATGCCCGTACTTCCGACTTTGTCTTCTTTGAGCGATAAAAAATGTCCTCCTGAGCACTGCCGTCTCTTCCTTTGGCCATTATTTCAGCTTTAGCTTCAAGAAAGTTTTGGTTGTAAAAAACAAAGCGCGCATGTGCCGCCGGCAACTTCAGCAGATGATACGGTGGCTGGTAAGGGTCACCGCGCCTACACCGCAGCCACGGTAATCCACCGAGATAATATAGTTTTTTTAAAAACAAGATGGCTTTTATTATTGTCAACTATTTTTACCGGGGTTTACCGCTACACCGGTTACCGTGACAACCCTACCTGATCGGTCTGCTTTGATCTATTTTGAAAACTCCGATCAAAACCGATAGGGGCGCTATCGGCCGATTGGGATCAAATGCGGAGCCATCGGTGCATCCCTAGTAGAAACTCCAGTGAAGGTAGTCAAAACAAGCCAGTTTGTAGCCTTTTATCGCTTTTATTTAGTTGATTTGACAGTAAAATGGTTTTAGCGTGCTGCGTGGTTGGCTGCACTAAGAGACAAGGACGTAAACTCAACTCTTTTTCTTTTTAATAACTTTAATGGAGATGGAGGACGGAGATGAACTGCAGCGATCAATCAAGCGGACTAGCAGGCCTCAGATTTGCAGCAAACATATTTTTACCGGGTAAGATTAACGTTAATTTATTTCACAAGGAAGACAGGGATAAATGTGATGTGTTTATACAAGTTAATGATAATCCTGATGGATGGGTATTTCACCACAGAGACTGCGCTCCTTCCACTGTAGTGTAAAGAGAGACAATTATTAACAATATTAAAGCTCCGATGTATAATTACTTGTGTTAAAATTACGTTATTTATTTATATGAGCGTCGGCGTTCAGAGATCTTCTCATTCTGGTGTGAGAGCAGCAGCTGAACCCGGTAACACCACCAGCAACAGAAGCTGGTAGGGATCCAGACTTTTTAAAAATCAGCTTTTGTGTGAAGTGAAACGCTGTTTACAACATAAAGTTATAAATCCAGAGGGGTGAATTTAGGCAAAGTCAGCAACATGTTTACATCGGTGAACAGCCGCAGAGGAGGAGTTAACGTTGGTAAGCTAGTTAACATACCGCTCTCTATGAGCCCCCGCTAGATGCGCTACTTCTGATAACTGATCTGGGCATGAACTAGTTGAAGGAATGCTTCAAGGAGTTTTTATTTTTTTTTTTTTTGATCGCAAAAACAATTTCAGGCTCTACTTTGTCCTTTGTTTCGTACTCGTGCCGCTCACTGTTTACATGCTTTTGCCGTCCAGCA